GAACACTCAGAATCCTTCTGTTTTAAAGGTATTGCCGATGACTAGAAAACCAAATAGCCACAGGAAATATTGGCATCTTCACAGACGAAGTGAACATGTAGAAAACAGTCTTCTTACTGGTGATGCAGTGGTTAAGAGCTCGGCTGCTAACCTAAAGGTCAGCAGTTCAAATCCACCAGCTGCTCCTTAGAAACCCTATGGGGCAAGTTCTACCCTGTCCTGCAGGGTCACTATGAGCCGGAATGGACTCAATGGCAACAGGTTTTATCTTTACAAAGATAAGTGGCATTATTTATTTCTCAACAGGGATAAGGAGAGCTAATTTTTTACGCAAGAAATAGGCGAGAAAAAAGTTTTAGAACTCTGAATAATTATGAGGGAAGATCTTTTTCCAGAGGCAGGGAAGTTTACCAAATACGTATCATAGAACATTTCAGCCCTAAGTCCACCCAGGTGAATGATTTCACCCCTGAAAGCTTTCTGGCTTCCTGCTTGCTAAATTCTTCTGAAGCTTACTGCTCAAAAATATTTCATTGATCTGCTTCAGTGCTGAGCAATTGACAAGAACTCGTCATGAGAATCCTGCCGGGCAGCCGCTTTTTCCAACTTACGGAACAAGAAAGGTTAGTATAAATTTTGAATCCCTGAATAATATCTTAGCCAGAGGGTGATCTTGCCATTTCTAGAAATCTGCACCAAAAGTCTTAACTTAAAAAATAAAATACCACAGATGGCCTGATCCTCTTCATTTTTTCAGACCCAAATTGTTGATCAGTCAATATGATTTTATAAAAAGATTTGGGATTAATCGGCTGCAGCAACCAGTCAATTAAGGAATTCTATTTAAGGGAAAATACTTGAACACAAAATAGTTTCTGCAAAGTTTCTTCTCAGACTGATTTGAAAAGGCATATAAAAATCAAATATCTTATGGCAGGGAATAACACTTTAAACTGAGTTTATATATCTTTTTTCATTTCATTTTTCTAGTAATTACTATTTTATTAACTTTATTGAGATATCATTTGTATAATCTCATGCACCCATTGTAAGTGGACATTTAGATGAGTTTTGACAAATCTATCCATCCACGTAATCATCAACAAAGCATAAGACATGTTAATCACTCAAAATGAATTCCTGTGCCCATTCTGGAAAATAATCCTTCCTCCCCAGTCCTAGGAGACCAGCGACCCACTTTCTATCCTTACAGATTAAATGTGTCTTTTCTAGAGTTTCATAAAGGAAGTCTGGGGCATAATGGTTAAGCGCTTGACTTCCAACCAAAAGGTTGGCAGTTTGAACCCCCCAGCTGCTCAGCAGGAGAAAAGACCTGGCGATGTGCTCCCTTAAAGATGACGGCCTTCAAAACCCTATGGGGCAGTTCTACTCTGTCCTACAGGGTCTCTACGAGTCAGAATCGACTTGACAGCACGCAGGAACGACTGAATCTCATATAAATGGCATCACTCACTGCGGTATTTTTTGAGTCTAGTTCCTTTTGTTCAGCACGTTTTTGAGATTCACTCATGTTGTTGGTATATCCCTTGTTCACTCCTTTTTATTGCTGAGTGGTATTTCCATGTATAGCTATTTCACGATTTATTTCTTCAGTCACCTGATTATGGACATTTGGGTTGTTTACAGTTTTGGGCCATTATGAATAAAAAACGAAACCCAACCGTTGCCGTCGACTCAATTCTGACTCATCTCACCCTATAGGACAGGATAGAACTGGCCCATAGGGTTTCCAAGGAGTGGCTGGTGGGTTCAAACTGCTGACCTTTTGGTTAGCAGCCAAGCTCTTAATCACCGTGCCACCAGGGTTGCTATAAATATTGATGTGCAAGTCACTGAGTGCACGTTTTATCTCATAGGTAAATACCTAGGATGGGAATTACTGGGTGGTAAGTAAAGTATATATTTAATTTTATCAGCAAGTGCCAAAGTTTTCTAAAGAAATTGTGCCATTTTACATTTCCACCAGCAAAATGTGAGCTTCATTGGCTTCACGTCGTCACCAGCACTTGGTATTGTGCATCTCTTAACTTTCAGAAATTCTAATGGGCTTCAGGCAAACTTTCATTCTGCTATACGTAACATCGCCAGGAGTTGGAGCAACAGGAACAATGGATTTTTAGTGGTATTGAATTGTGATTTTAGGATGTTTCTCTGATGACTAATAACGTTGAACATCGTTGAACATCTTTTCACAAGATTATTGGCCATTTATATACCTCCTTTGGTGAAGTGTCTGTTCAAATCTTTTGACCACTGTCTTAGTTATCTAGTGCTGCTGTAAGCAATACAAGTGGATGGCTTCAACAAACAGAAGTTTATTCTCTTACAGTCTAGTAGGCTACAAGTCCAAATTCAGGGTGTCAGCTCCAGGGGAATGCTTTCCCTTGTCTATTGGCTCTGGAGGAAAGTCCTTTTCATCAATCTTCCCCTGGACTAGAAACTTCTCAGGCATAGAGACCCCGGGTCCAAAGGACATGCTCTGCTCCTGGTGTTGCTTTCTTGGTGGTATCAGGTCCCTATGTCTCTCTGCTCACTTTTATATTTCAAAAGAGACTGGTTTAGAACACAATATGATCTTGTAGATTGAGTCCTGCCTCATTAACATAACTGCCACCAATCCCATATCATTAACATCATAGAAATAGGATTTACAACACACAGGAAAACCACATCAGATGACAAAATGGTGGAAAATCACACAATACTGGGAATCATGGCCTAGCCAAGTTGACTGGTATTTTGGGGGACACAATCCAATCCATAACAACCACATTTTATTGGATTATTTTATTGAGTTTATGTATTTTCAAAAAACTCCTGTCAGATATATGTATTCTAAATATTCCTCCCAGTCTGTGACTTGACTTTTCATTTTCTTAAGTGTCCTTTAAAGAGCAGAGGTTTTTAAGATTTTGATGAAGTCCAATTTACCGATTTTTTTCTTTTATGGTTTTGCTTTTTGTCTTACCTAAGAAATCTGTCTACTCCAGGGTCATGAAAATTTCTCCTGTTTCGTATGTAGAAGTTTTAGGGTGGCTATGAGTTGGAATAGGAGCCGTGGTGGCACAGTGTTTAAGCGCTCAGCTGCTAACAGAAGGGTCAGAGGTTTGAACCCACCAATTGCTCCACAGGAGAAAGATGTGGCAATCTGCTTCCATGAAGACTACAGCCTTGGAAACCCTATGGGGCAGTTCTACTCTGTCCCATAGGGTCGCTGTGTGTCGGAACTGACTCCACGGCCACAGGTGTAGTTTGCTGATTATTATTATTTCAAACTAGATTAAGTCAGAATGTGCAATTTTAAAGCAGTGTATTTCACTCAATTCATCATTTCTTATTTAACCTCATCAAAGTGTGATTATTGCTTGGCATAGTCACCGGCACAAGTCACCTTTTCTCCTGTCCCCTCTGATTCCTCTATACTCTGGTTTGTGGCTAAGGCATCTTGTTGATAGCCAAAATGGACAGTTGATTTTTTCAAAAATTTAAAAAGGCTTTACTAAAAACTTAGCTTTACAATAAATTAGCCTGCCTTTTGACAAGTATTCCATCTTACCATCTCACCTGTTACTATTCTAAAGCACAATCCAGCTTTTTGGATGGGATATCATTAATTTTCTTAAAAAAACCTAAACTTTATCACTTTAGTTCAGTGGAATCTACTCTTCCCAAATTGATAAAGAACATAGAAGCCGTATGTATAAAATATCATATGTGGACTGTCAGATTTTCACTCAACCAGATATCTCAGGAATTGGGAGAAAACTTGTGTGCAGGAGAAAAAACAAACCCCTCATATCACAGAAACATAATGTACAATAGTTTTATTTTTCTTATTTTACTATTTTGACATTTTATGCACAAATATTTTTTTATCTGAGTAAAAATAGAAAATAAGTTTCATGTAAAATTACAAAAAAAAAAATTTAACCACAAAGAAATACATAATTGTTACTATGACAGTATAAGTGTCTTTATTTAAAGAGTAAAAATGTATGCAAAAGTCCTTCTCTTTTACAAAAGATTGAGAATATTTTGTCCTGGCAGCAAGTGAAATATCAATATTTTTACACCCTCTAGGTCTGAAGACATGAAGTTAGTCATAGGTTTGTTCTGCAACTATGAATTTTAAAACATTCTGTGCTATTTCAAATATATGCCAGTTCTTTTTAAAAGGCAGTAACATAAAATAATGAATATGAAAAACAGTAGGCCTCACCAAAAATATTTGGAGACACAATCCTTTAAAAGAAATATCATATATGAGTTTCAGCATAAGGGGAGAAAAACAACTAAACAATTTTTCCTAATGGACAGTTTGATAGAAAAATGAAAGCGGCCAGCTGATTAATAGGAAGATCAACCACACACAGCAATTCTGCTTTTGCCTGATTTTACGATGCCAACACAAAGTTTTCAGACTTTAGCCTAGAAAGATACTTATGGAAGTTGGCTCAACAAAAACCTCCTATGGAAAACAAGTTTATAAACAAAAGTGAACATTTCATTATTCTTGTACACATAAAGTACAAAAGGTGACTGATAATTTATTTCTTCCTTTGAATATAGTGTAAATTCTCCTGTTATAAAAAATTCGTTCATAGAAACAGAACAAAGAATGAATAGCATGGATTATATTTTCTTTCACAATAAATGAAGATTACCCGGCTTTCTGTTAATTATAACCTGAACAAGGAAAAAGGAAATAGCTTATATATAAATTGGAACTACAAAGTAATGAGAGATTTCTTGAATTGACTGGGGACATCAATCTCATTATTTTACCCATGTCACGATGCATAAAACGATGGTAAGACAGAGGTGAAGAAGAAAAAAGAAACAGCATCTATCCTGTATGAGAACTGTTTCTGTTCAAATTACAATGAAGAATAAAACAAAATCTACCAATGGTGGGAAAATGCTGGTAGAAAAATGTCTCTGGGGAATGCTTAAAGGAGAAAAGAAACAATGGTTTGATGTTAGGGCTCCAAAAAAAAAAAAAAGAAAAATATGGGTATTCCTTGCCATTAACAACAACAACAAAAAAATTTGAGACATAAAAAAATGTCATCTTGGCTAAAACTTTAACATGTCTCCCCAAAAGCACTACAAAATCCAAATAAAGGTCAAGATTCTTAACCTCTTGATAGTATATCAGAATAGTATATAATTTTTTTAAACCATAAGCAGCTTGTCAACTCCTCAAGCCACAAGATGGTGTAAAATCATTTTAGTTACCTCGCTGTTACCGAAACTACAGCTTCTATTATTTCATATTGTCACCCTACTTAGATATTCTTGCAATAAAAGTGCCCAAACTGTAAAAAAAATTTAAGATGTCAGTCTATTTTGCATTTATAAAAAAACAGAAGTTACAACGTTTATTATTTTTAAGTAATATCTACTAGAGTCATAAAGGCCTTAATAGAGTATAAATAAGCTGACATTATAGGCTGTAGTCCTATAGCAGAGTGCTTCAAATTATGACTTAAGACTACCAGAAAAGGAGACCACAGATCCCTTCTTTTCTCCTTGTTGCCAAGATCCCTGCCTCATATGGATCCTTCCACCCCACTCGTTAGTACCGGCAGCAGAGACTGCTAACAATGCACTTGCCCATATACCACCTTGGCCCTTTCTTCCTCATTAGTCTAAAGCATTAACTGAGCTTTTATAAAGCTGCTTTAGGATGGATTTAAGGCGAATAAAGAGTCTCTTCCTGTAAGAGGAATGAAAAGCTATCTCCTAGTCTCTCATATCACGATTCATGCATTCCTGAAAACAAGTGACAAAAAGGCAGAAAGAAGAAAAGAAAGCAAGACAGAAGACATTTCTAGCCATTTCTGTTTAGTGCCAGCTTACGGTAAGTAAAGAGTTTTATATATATATATACACACACACACACATACACATACATATATATGTGAATTAATTTTTAAAGAATTTTTAATGAATTATTTTTTTCTTTTTGAATATCTTATGCCTTCATAAATATATATGGTCAATTATAAATGTATATAGATATTTTTATACACACATACACTCAAAAGGAAGAAAATTAAATAAATGGGAAGTTTTGTTTTAAGACAGAGGAATGTATATACTAGAAGTCAAATTTTCCTTTTAAAACTGTTTCTAAGTAATTTACTAATGTTTTGAAAGGTAAAGTACTGTTGACTGATTTAAAATCTTCATTTCGAAGAAGCACAATGAATACATGAGCTGCCTTGCATAACAAACCGGCCCTACAGGGTAATAAAAGGAAAAATAAGAAAGCAAGCAAGCCATACCAAACCAAACTAAATTTTTATTTTCTGGCTGAGGTATACTTTTTCAGTTTTTTAAATCTCTGACAGGAAAAACAGAGATCATTTCAAAATTTTTGTAATAGCTGGTTTATTAGAATTAAATGTCTCTCTCAAAATAATTTAACTTCACAGCCTCACATTACGTATAATCTATACAGCAAATCCCTAAAGTTGGCTTGAGGTAAGCCAGATTTAAATCTGGATCTCTTTCTTCAGCACAGCTCTTCTGCCAGTTGACTTATCATCTTTGCTTGCAAATATATAAATTACTTTAATAACTTGACACTCTTGGTTGAGTGATTTATCAATATCGCGAGACTTTGATTTGATATGAACGTCTGAGCTCTGCTTGATCAGATGACACAGGCACACATGCTTTAGCTGTGAACAATTCCATCTTCGGGCTCTATGTAAAGCAACATCTAAAGCAGCATTTGTGAACTAGTTTAAAAAATAGTTAAGCCAGACTGTTCCCTGAAGATTTCATTTACTTTTCATCTTTAGATGCTACTGGCTATTTTTGGTAGGGCTAGACATTAATACTGACCAGTTTAGCTTTCCTGACTGTTAACAAGCTACTCCACAATGAATATGTTGCCTTCACGCTGAAAACACTGTGGTGATCCCTTAACATACACATATTCTAAAATATATGCTCAAAGTAAAAAGATCCAAATTCACAAGAGTATGAAATATTTATAAAAAAAAAAATCATGCATCAGAATTTACATTCTAGAAATAAAAGATTCAAATTCGGTAATAAAGGTAAGAGCAGTACTTGCTCTAAATATTTAAGAAAGTCCTCAGCCTCCCGGAAGGTCCTGGGACTCAATTATCCTTTTCTGCTTGCAGAGAAGCAGTGGCCAGGGCTACTGCTGTGACCGGCTGAGCGATTCCATGAAGCTGCATCTTTGCCAGTTTCTTCTGTTCACATTCTGTGACTAAACGGTTCAACTCTGCTGCACTGTATCCAATAAGAGTCTTCAAGTCACAAACAAACTTGTACACAAATCTCTTGCCTTGAACTTTACAAATCATGTCCCCGTCATAATAATACCTTTAAAAAGAGAAAAACCAATCAGGATTATATAAAAAAATAAAGAATTCCGACCTCTTAAAATATTTCACGGACTATTCCGTAAGCAGAAGCCTAGTATAGTATTGCATCTGCCATAACAGCAATTAACACTGACGTTATATAGAAATACTTAATGGTAACTATCTGAGAACATCAAAACCTTAGTTACTGAAAATTTAATGCAGAGTACTCTAAAACACAGACTAAACTTTCAAAGCTTACTTTCAAATTATGAAAAAATATTTAAAAATAAACAAAACAAGACAAAGTAGAACATCATCTCTGGAGCAGTGGTAACAGTCCCTAAGAACAACGGCTTTGGAGTCTGGTCGCCGAAATGCAAACCCTAGCATCACTACTTAGCAGCTGTGTGACCACAGGCAAGTCACAGTGTCTCTATGCTTTCATTCCTCATCTATAACATGAGGTTAGAAATAGTACTTACCCTCACAGAATTGAGGAGTAAATAGAATAATCTTTGTAAAGTGCTTAGCACACAATGACTGCACGTATTTAGCCCTCTATAAAATATAAGCTATGTTAATAATTACGAATCCATAATACGAAGAAAATTTTAATACATATGTTCTGTTGATTACCAGTATGTCCGCTTCTTTTCTGTCTTGTACAAAAGTCTATATTATGTAGCCATGCCTTCACCTTTATTGTTTTAATATGTAAAGGCTTTCCTTTCAATTCTCCAAAACCAATAGGGAGCCACAAAATTTTAAGCTAAAGGGCTAGAAGCAAGAACACAGAAAAACAGGAAACTGGACATTGTAAGGACACAAACTTCCATGGACACTTCCATAGGCATGTTTGGGGAAATCACTAGAAGTCTAGTTTCCTGCTGCTGTCTATGGAGGTGACAATAGACAGAGTTGGATTTGTATTTATTTTGGAAAAAAAGGGTTTATTTTGGTTAATACACATAATTTAGAAAGATGTGGCTAGACAATCACATGGCAACATTATCATATACTGGGTTCTAGCACAATCATTATCACCATGCACTGCCCACTCCAACAATTGTTTTATGGGCCTGTCTAATCTTTGGCTGAAGGGTGAGCCTCAGGAGTAACTTCAGTACTGAGTTAACAGTGTCCGGGACCATACTCTCGGGAGTTTCTCCAGTCTCTGTCAGACTAGTAAGTCTGGTCTTTTTTTTTCTTTTTTGTGAGTTTGATTTTTGTTCTACATTTTTCTCCTGCTCTGTCCGGGACCCTCTATTGTGATCCCTGTCAGAGCAGTTGGTGGTGGTAGCCAGGCACCATCTAGCTGTGCCGGACTCAGTCTGGTGGAGGCTGTGGTAGTTGTGGTCCATTAGTCCTTACAAACCTTTTAAGTTGTGAAACATAATACACAAACAGAAAGGACACAAAGGGAGCAGCTCACTCTCACTCTGGTCAAGAAACGCACCCTAGAAACTCTTTCCACGCCCCCCTCCTGGTCACTACCTCTCCCTCCCCCTATACAGTAACCATAAATCTGTTTTATGATAATTTCCTTATATTCTTTGTATTTTTATCACCCAAACATGTATTCTAAGTGCTGCGATCTGTTTTCCTGTATCACTTTAATATATAAATGCATTCATACAGTATGTACTCTTTTGGGTCTGGATTCTTTCACAGAACATTATGTTGGGGAGATTCACCCAGATCATTTGCTTGTAGCAGTAGTCCATTTTCATAGCTATACAATATTCTCTTGTATGAATACACCATAATTCATTCATCTGCTCTACTGTTGATGGATACTTAGATGGTTTCTGGTTTTTGGTTGTTACAAATAATGCTACTATAAGCATGGGTGTGGACACAGCACACCTTTCTATTAGGTATATCCTAAGGAGATAAACTCCTCACAGTTCACAGTATATAAGCATCCCCACTCTTCCATGTCCTTATCAATGCCTGGTACTGGCAATCTTTTTAATTTTAGGCATTTTGGGGAAGAGGGGGTGTTGTGGCATTTTATTGTGGTTTTAAATTGCATTTCATGATTACTAATGAGGTCGTGGGCCTTTGCATATATTCACTGGTCATTTGGATAAACTCTCATCTATTCAAGTCCCTTGACCATTTTCTATTTTTCTTATTGATTTATGAGTTCTTAGATATTCTAGATACCAATCCTATGTCAGATATATGTGACCTACCTTTCACTCTCTTATGGCATCTGATGACCAGACATTCTTCATTTAGATAAAGTCCAACTTATTGATCTTATTCTTTATGGTTAGCGTTTTTGGTTTACTAGTGTCTTTCCCCACTCCTGAAGTCATGAAGATACCTAGCTGTTTTCCTAGTCTATGTTTACATTTAGAGCTACACGCAGCATGGAAGTGAAGTCTCACTTTTTCACCACATGGACAGTCAACTGTCCCAGCACCACTGATTGAACAGAGGGTCTTCCCCCTGCTGCCATGTCTCTGAATCAAGTGCTCAGACATTCTTGGTTCTATGTGGGCTCTCTATTTTGCTTTTTGGACTGTCTATCCTTGAGCGAATACCACACAGTATTACGGTTGCAGCTTTATAGTATGATCCTGCAGAGCAAGTCTCCCCACTTTGCTAATCTTCAGGTATCCTGGCTATTGTGGTACTTTACATTCCCATATAAATTTTAAAATTATCTTGTCAGATTCTACAATATGATTTATTGCAACTTTGATGGTCCTTGCACAGAAACTTAGATCAAATCTGGGGAGAACGGACATCTTAATTGTTAATTCTAATAATTTACCTGTAATTTTGGGGAAATTTGCATGTACACAATCGTATCAATTGTGAAAAAAGACAGCTTTAATTCTGCTTATATGGAAAGAATCCTGAGAAAACTGGCAAAGTGCTTGAGACTGATTAAGTGAAAAGCACACTGAAAACTAAGCATCTTAGTCATGAATTCTAAGGGGGGGAAAGATGAGTCAGAAAAAGAAAAGCAATCATGGTACATAATCTTTACACGGCCGTAATCCAGTGACAATGGGTAACAATCTAACCGATATCTCCACAGACTTATATAATGATATTGGAAAGATGGGGGGAAGAAAAAGGTGTGTGTGCGTGTGTGTGAATGTGAATGTGAGTGTGTGTGTGTAGTGATGAAAAAGAGCTAAATCATAATCTCATAGTGTGAAACCCACAGACAATGCCCAAACTGAAACATAAAGAAGCAATAGAAGCACTTTATTTAGAAATACAGAGGTAAATTGCAGAGAATGTCCAAAAGTGGTATGCTACTTATGGGAAATCATGAATAATCTGAATGTGTCGATGTGAAGGTTGGATATTCAGATGTAGGCAGATTTAAGGGGAGAAAAAACAGGGAAGATCGGTTAATATTTTACTTCTAATTATAAAAACAGAGGGCATAATCTGCATATTTACTAAAATTTACATTTACTCAAGTCATCCATGCAAATGACAGCATTTACATCTGAAATGCAAATGATAGAAACCTAAAAGATTAAACAATTTGATCTTAAGCAGAATACCATAATGCTTTTAAATCAGATAATCACAAATAATCTTAGAATAATCTTACAATGCAATGTATATACGTCAACATTATTATCAGTGATCTTTAAAAAGTTATTTTTAACATGACAAGTGTGAAAATTTTAGCCTTTTTTAATATGTAAGGAGAAAGCAATAGTCACAAACTATACATCTTATGTACAAGTCAAATTTTAATCTCAGTTGCTTACATAAGAACGCCTACACCTAGAATAGGAAGCCAATTTTTAGAAAGGCTTGTCTTAAAAAAAAAAAAAAAAAAAGGACTAAACTGCTTACCTTAATGCACGACTGAGTTTCTCATAGTTCATAGTAGGTTTATTTTTACGTTGTCCCCATTTTTGTGCAACCAGTTCAGGCTGATTTAGCTTAAACTCGCCTTCGTCCCCAACCCAAGAAATGCAGTCCCGAGCATCCTTGTCAGTAAGAAGTTCTAGCAAAAACTGCCACAGTTGGATTTGGCCATTGTTTCCTAAAATGACAAGAGGACAAGCATTAGACACAGGGCTGTGGATTAACACTGTGCAAAAGGCAACACGTACGCAGGTTCTCCGGTTCAAATCTCAGCCATGGAAGTAACACAAATATTTTTTTACAAACGTGTATTCAGTACTGTCAGACGAACGGTCCATACTTACCTTTTCATACAGTGAACTGTAAGAAAATATACCTAATTTGAGAAATCTGATAAGTACCAGATGCCAATGGGACGATACCTGTCCTGTTCCCGGGTGAACTTCTGTCTTCTCCTGAAATCCTTGGAGCTCTCTGCACTTTGGCTGCCTTTGTACTACTGTTAAGAACTTTAATGGTGGTCGGTGCAGCAGACTGCACTGACGCTGGGATAATCTGCACAGCTGCAAGGAAAGACAGAGGGAAAGAAATGTTTCTCCCTTCAGTATAAGCCATGAATAAATTACGGAAAGACATTAAGTGCAGTCAGGTTTACTAATACTCCTAGAAAAGGCCTCATTACAAGAAAGCCTCAATCCACAACAATTTCTAACAAAACCACAGAAAGCTCAGAAGATAGGGTTTGATATTTTCCTTAGGGTTTATGAATCTTAACTTGGTCAATAAAAGTTGGTCTCCCTATTTTGAAATGACATTTAGTGGTGCATATACATTAGACAGAGAGTTATAAAAACATTTGTTTATAAAACATTTGTACATGAAAAATGGATTATCACACGTTGGAGAAAATATAGACAAATGGGAACTAAAGTTCCTCTAATGCTTAGAGTACAAACTCACACCATCACTTTGAGAAACATTTTGGCAATCTCTAGTCAGGCTGACAAGGTAGAGATCCTATGATACCACAACCAGAGAATTTCACCCACGTTCTTACAAATACTCATACAACAGCATTTTTATAAACAACGAAAAATTAGAAGCAACCTAATTATCTATCAAGAGAAGAGGTACACTCATTCATTGGAATACTACACAGCAGTGACAATGAATGAACCAGAACTCCAATATCAAGGTGGGTAAGACTCTTATATGTTAAACAAAAAACAAATTATAAACGGAAACATACAGTATGTTACCATTTTACCCAAAACATTAAACACATGCACAACAGTGCTTTAAAGTGTTTATGGTTACGTAGTATATAAAAATAAAGAAGAAGATAGGATCTACTACAGGTTAACTCATTATGTAAATTTTTATATTTTATGGTCTACATGGGTGTAGACAGGTATTGGTTATACTTTCTTTATATACCTAAAGTACTTCATTTAAAACTTTTTAAAAATAGTTCTCCTTGCTACTACTTTGCAGTACCAACTAAAAAAATAATTTGTCGATAAGAGAGTCACATATTACAGGCACGAATACTCACGCTGATCAATTGTAACTATCTCATTCATCTGTTGTTCTTGGCTTGCCAATACATCTGAATAATGTAAGAAAATATTTTTTTGTTTTCATTTAAAACCAGAAATGCAAACCCATCCAGCAAAATTCAATAAACATAATTCATTGTTTTAAATGGAACTATATAAAACCAAAAATAAGCAAGCAAATCATGAAACAATTGCAAGTTATTGGCATAATAACCTAAAAAATACTTGACAGTCACATTATTTAGAAGCAAAAGATATACTTAACAGAAGTAAGAGAAGGAATGCTCCAGTTTCTTTTAGTGTTCCAAAAATCTATTCAAGGAAACAGTTTTCTAAAAGTAAAAATCTATATATATAAAACCATGTAAAAATACAGAGCTCTCTAAGATCAGATCAAAGATGACGATATGCACCACTATGAAATTATTTAGATACAGATTTTCCACCAAAAGGGCTGCCTGGTCCTTGGGATCATCTAACAGATCTTCATCATTTACTAAGCTGTGTTGACATCCACTTTGGAATAAACCGCTTTAACTTGTATGATGGTCCTACTTAAAGACAGCTAAATTTTCAATAAAATGGAGGCTGTCTTAAATGTCACAAGTGAACGAAATAATTTAACAGATGTATATAGGTAGTTCTCACATGACAGTACATTTAAAAAGTCCTTATACAGTCCTTACAGAACTATTCATTACTCATCTGTCCCTATTCCCTACTCAAACGCTATTCTTTATCTCTCAAATAAGAATTGTACTTCCCAGTGTCTAGAACTTCAGCCTACTTAGTTACCAGGAAAGACTGCACACTTCTTTCTTGAAACTGAAATTCTACCCACCAGCAAATGTTCTGTGGTGAGTTCTGGGGAATGAACCCCCAAGAAGACTCTAGTTAGGGGATCCACTTCCAGACACACAGAGCTGGAAAGGGCTGGGGAATGAAAAGAGGTCTGAATCCTTCCTGTTAAATGGCAGCTTGCTCTGGGGGGTTCTGAGTTTGGGGACTTAATGATTACATGAGACTAGCCTCAGGCAGATCTGGGTTCAAATCTTAGCTCTCACTTACTGCCTGAGTGACTTTGGTAAAATAATCAACCTCAGTGAACATGAATTTCCTCATCTTTTATGAGATACCCTAACCCACGAGCTTCACGAGGCTGTAAAGATGAAAAGAAAATATTTTGAGAACTACAGTGGCTGAACACAGTTAACTTCTCAGTAAATGCAAGAGGCTGCTGTTTTATCCAGACCTCTGGTTCTGAGCAGTTGCCCGCAGAACTGTTCCTCTCTTGAAGAAAACTCCATGCCTTACGTCTGGCAGACTTCCCCCATAATTTCATAGAAACACTTTGAAGAGGAAAAGTGCTGTTGAAATTATTTCCTTTGTGACTGTAAACGGACGGCAGTGCCCTAGCCTCAGAGAGCTGGTATCACACAGCACAGGTATGGGCAACCTCTAAAATCAGCCTGTAAGCCCCAATTCTCAGACTGGAGTTTGGTCTGTTCCCTGGGAGAACCCAAAAGAGGAAATAGAACACAGAACAAGAAGGGCTTTTGAAAGCCTAGTCCAAGACCACAGAGGTACCCTGAGTATCATTCACCAGGTAGACCCCAAATCCTGGCCGTGCATGAAGGAAGCAGAGTCCTAAGAGGCAAAGCCCCAGGGGGACATGGAGCCATTTTATGAAAAAACAACAGACACTAAAGGTTTAAACCTTTTTTTTTTTTTTCCTTAAAGAAAACCCCAGTAAACTGAAAGCTTTGTCTTTGGTGACAGAAGGCCAATATTCACACCAAGCAGCACACTGTGGAGCTGCTAGGACTAGAACTTTTCCTGATTATCCTTCCATGTACAGTAGGGCCTGGATGAAGCTCAACATAAGGGGAAGTGAAGGAAGGTGGTGGCTCTGGTGAGTAATCTAACAAATATTTAAGGAAGGAGCTAGACCTGTCCAATACCCCATTGTGCACAGGATTACCATGAGCTGGGTTTGACTAGACAGCAGTGAACAATGACGACAAACCTCAGTGACAACTTGTGGAGTTACTATGAGGATTAAAGGAGATGACGCACATAGAGCTCTCAGCACAGCCCTGTACAGTTAATAAATGCTGATTATTGCAAGTACCAATGAACAACTAAGATGAAAACAAAGATTTAAAGAAATACAATTAAGCTTAAGTTACAAGGTAAATAGTTAAGTCTGATTTCATACATTTTCGAAGAAGCTCCAGATGACTCCAGAGAATCTCTCCCCGAGGAACCCGCTGAAAAAAATCTTCTTGACTGAGGCTACATAATTCTCTGCCGGAAATATTGAGTGTGGTGAGGTCTATGTCAGTCATGCTGAATTCCTTCATTACCCAGACCACCCAATGCAGGACTTGGTCTGTGGACCACTGGATAGGATCTAGAAAGAAAAAATACTATCTTTAGATATTGCATAACATCTTAGCTATTATACCAATTTTCAGTTAATAATAAACAGTTGTTAAACACATAAACACACACGCGCATGCAGATAAAATCCAGGCAGGAGCCTTTTTGTCCCACAAGTAAGTGAGGTAAACTTATTACACGAAGTAAAAAGATTTTTATGCATTTTCTCCTCAGCTCTTTTTCAGTTTCTTAAATGAAATTTCTGATGGATTCACTTCAGTCCGTACAGAATTTTATAAAGCACAACAAAATGCAAAACTGCTTTTCAGTGTAAAATATGTGATCACCTGGAACATATCATTGGTGCATTAAAAAAAAAAACAAAAAAAAAAAACTGTAAGGAGAGCCTAGGGAGCTAGGCTTATTCTCCAAAATGTGAACAATGGATTTTTTTCTTCTTGTAAAGAGCTAGTTGAGGCTGCATTTATCCTTACAGTGGATACAACATGCTAATTGTTTTTACTCAGCTGTCTCCCCCAACAAGACATCGAGGTCTTAAACACAAGGAACGTGTCTTGTAACCATTCTACCTTCAGAGCCTACCACAGTGTCTTGCTCATACATTTGGTGAGTGTATAAATGGTAAATCCACAAAATTTCATTTTCCCAATCATATTTTACTATCTTATTGAATACACAAATCAAAGACGACCCGCATGTATAGGTATTTCATTGCTGAAATATTTAGGTATCACTGGCACCTGACAGAGCATTCTATCCATAGAAGTTTAATAAGTAATAGTTGAATTAAAATTTTGGTACTGCTATGCCATCATGGAGAAGGTGACTCCTTCAAATATTATTAGTTACATACCAATTAAATGTATGATACTCAGTAAAAAGCGGGGAAGATAAAGCTTAGGTGATTATCAAAAGCCTATCAATAATAAAAAAAAAATCAAATATAGCAATACAGGATTGGGAGCCACAGAATTTATTTGATTTTTCCAAAGAAATCAAGGGAGAAGGATTCTGGGAAGATGACGTTTTTAATTTCTATGAATCTACACATCAAAACAGAAAAAGCAACTAGCGAGCAAAACCAAAAACCCATGGACGTTTCTTTACAACAAAACCAGGTGACAAGACCCCAACATACCAATAACAAAAAAACCAGTAATAGCCACAAGCCCTCCATGGTTATCAGCACCTATACAGGAGGAAGCAAACGGACATCTAACCCATCCTGAGCACAGGAAAATCCGAAGACAGTCGAGAAGTATTCACTGAAAGCACAACAGACCCAGCTGAGCAGAGCAGCTAAAACAGTCTTGCCCCATCGAACAGCAGTGAGTACAAGGGACCATGGTGAGGTGTAAAGGGCTAAAGCAGTGTATGAGCTTTTCAACTTGAGCCAAGAATCACTGCCAGGAAAGAAATCTGCAATAAGGAGAAAATGCCAGGAGTGGAATCGAAATAGAGCAGAATAGGAATACCAAGAAAAGGAAAGAGAAAGCCCAGATAAAAGTGAAGACAAGAACTAAGAAAGCAAGATACCCCATTTTAACACTACTTGCAAACAACAGAAGAGGGAGCTATCCTGAACCATACCCCTTTTAAAAGTCCAGGATAGCTCATTCTACAAAATAAATGAACAGAAAATTTAAAATTTACAATGATCAGAAAAGTTAAGGAACAATAGAATTCATCTGATATTTTTCCTCAAATAACAACAGGATTTCTGGTTTAACAAAACTAATTGGCCATATGTTTACTGCCTGCCTCTCCTCTCCAAGGCCCTACAGAAACGATGGTGAAGGAGTTTTTAAAAGATGAAAAACACACAGGAACACAGATGGAATATGACGGAAATAGATGGAAGATTTCAACTATGTTTTGAAGACAACAAGCAGAGTGATGACCAATTTAGCAGAGTAGGGGAGGCTATGACCTAACATGTCTGCTGAGGAGGATACCAAGAAGTGGGAAAACTCCTGCCTGCGGAAGTGGCTAATGGCTGTGGTTGATTTAAAGTAAGATGGTGGTTAGAACCTCCAGGACCTCTCTTTCACTGCCAGGAACCAATAAAACAGAGCACCTCACACATGGACACCAGGAACACTTTAGATCAGGGGAGACACACACAGCGGACACTGGGACAACTGCTCTCAGTAATAAAATAAGCCTACAAAGTGAAGAGTAAGGACCCCCCCCCAACACACACACATAAACTTCCCTTTCCGCTTCAGAACGCAGCATCCACATACACATCAATCTCAAATGCTTACTCCAACCTTCTAACAGGTGTCTGGCCAGTTCTTCTCCAGAGAAGCTGAAGAGACTCAGGAGAAAGACCTACACATACTGACACTTGAAATTCTTTTAATGAAATTGTAAACACCTCATTTTACCATCTCGTAGTCAAGAAACCCCTTCCAGAACATCAAACTAATTAGCTTTAAAGTTATTTACTCTTAAACGTGACTAGATGGGCAAGAATAACCAATTATTTAAAAGGATTAAAAACAAATATTTAAAGAAACAAAAACGAACAGAAAAGCAGAATTCAGAGGAAGCAGAAATAATGCAATAAAAAAACTTAAAAAAAAAAACCACTATAATCAACATACCCCCAGAGGTTAAGATAAAAAATGACATCCATGTTACAAGATCAGAATGCTATACAAAAGGAACAAAGAGCTCTTTGCAAATTAAAATGAAAAATCAGATGGGTTGCAATACAAACGCAAGAAAATTTCACAGAAAGTATAATTTTGCTATCTAGAACTCATTTTGATATCCCACTTTCCATAAAATACTCTACTATGAAAGAGTTTTGGGTGATGGTCTGGCAAACTTTCTAAGGAATACATTGTTTCACAAATTTTCATGCTCCCTTCTTTCCTTCTCAGCATTTCCCCTCTCAAGAGAAAACTCCCAAATTACTAACACTAAGGTCAAGTACACCATCCACTAGTTTCCACTAAACTAAGGAACTTCAACCATCTCTCTTTTTTTTCTCTCCTACCTCTGAAGAATGGCTCTATCTCATCCTTCAAACCAGGCTCGTGTATACTAAGCTCCAACTTACAACCTCTCTCCCAGCTTCTATAACCTATCCTTCTCCTACTAGTTCCATTCCATTTTATCCACAAATACACTGAGGTCACTGCAAACTCTTGAACCTTCAATATTATTTATTTGTTCCCCCACCATTCCTCCCCACCTCCCTCACCCCACCCCAAGAAGTTAATACTCGAGTTTCTCCATTTATCCATTGCCTATTCATGTCTTATAATTCAGCTTCATTTCTTCAACCCTACAGATACTTTTGTCATATTTACCAATGACCCTCTATTCACGAAATTTCATAGATATCGGTCAGCACTCTCTGACTTCCTCAGCAGCGTCTGAGGATTCTGATAATCTTAAACTTCCCCTCAGCTTCAGTGACACTGTATAATATAGTTTTTATTTTCCTTCTATCTCTTCAGCTATTCCTGTCTCCCTTTCTTCTGTCCAACCATAACTGTTGACAGGATCCAGGAACCAGTCTTTAACGTTACTTTTTTTGTCTATTTATCCGCATCTACTTTTACAGCTTCCAGTACAAATTCAATGTGAATGAGTTCCATATAATATATCTTTATCTCCAGCCTAAATCTTGTACACCTGAAATTACTCTCTGGCTCCCTCCAGTTGAACAGCCGGTATCATTTCAAAATCAAGTGCTACCAACACTGTTTCCTGAAAAACCTTTCCATATCAAACTTCCTACTTCCCCCACTAGGTGCTGGGAAGACAACAGACTTTCTTGTGTACCATCACAACCCTAGTGTCTAATACAGTTAGATATGCCACAGTCTGGCATATGAGAGTGTTCACCAAATACGTAATGAAGACGTAACCAATTCGTATTAATATTATTATATGGCCAGTCACCCAAGCTTGAGAAGTTAGACCAGTATCTGAATCTCCCGTGGATCTCCCCCTTCTACCTTCTTACATCTGTCAACCAGCTGCTCAGTTCCATCACTGTTTCCATCCACCTCCTTCCTTCCACTGCCACAGAAACCCCCTGGTCTAGGTTCATCACAACACACATAAAACCACAACAGTATGCTCCTGGTCTCCCTTCATTCGGTCTCCACCTGCTCCAACGCATGCTGTATACCACTGCCACATTTGTCTTTCAGTCGTCACTTCCATCGATCAACAACAGCTCTACAAGGCAACAAATAACTCCATACCCACATCTTCTCATTACTCATACATGCTCCCGCTTCTAAGCCTTTGCACATAACATTCCCTGTCTGGAATGTCCTTCTTTGCACAATTTTGCTGCAAGGCACTATAATTCCTTTGTGATCCTAATAGCATGTTTACTTTCAGTTATTAAAACTTAAAAACATATAACCTTTTATAGCAATTATCTCTTTTCATCTATCCTCTGTCTCTTCAACTACACTGTGAGCACCCTGAGGGTAGGAATATTTTATACTTCTTTGTATTCCTAACACTCAGGACAGAATTTGTCTATTATACACTTAAATGTCTGTTACAGTCCAAGAAAAAAAAAAAAAACAGCATATTAAAGAAAATCAGTATTCTTTCTAAAAATTCTACATTTAAAACAGATCAAAACTTACCCTAATGTCTTCTCCGTCAAACCTAATGCTCAATTCTCTAGTTAACATGTACTTCTCTGTTTTCTTACCATAGGGTATCCCCAGGCGCTCTTGCTCTTTCCTGTAACCTTCCAGGGCAGCTGCCCATCTTGTCACTTGTTCTGAGGTCTCGTCGGAAATGGTGGTAATGTGTTTGGTGCCATCAAGGGTTATCACTTGAGCTTCCTCAACAAGATGCGCTTCAGCTTCAGCATGGTGGGCGTCAGGATCTATAACTACCTCAACAGTTTCCGCGGGTTTAACAATTTCAAGGATGTTTAGCTTTGGCTCAATTCCTTCACAGGGAATAAGAAAAACACTGTAAATCTAAATGAGAACAGAAAAGCCACAAAACAAAACTTATAGTTTAATATATATGTTCCCAAGTGGGAACAAACAGTACAGAAAAAAATGCATTTTAAAAATTTTGGCAAAATGTCTACAGAATTTAACGGATTCCTGTTGACAATCAACATAATGACAATTTACTAGAAGTTCTGTAGATAACAGTATTGTGCCAATACTGATTTCCTGATTTTGGTAACTGTACTGTGGTCATGTAAGATAAACCATCTTTTTTTTTTTTTTTTAAAGAAAAACAAAAACTTACTCTTAATAATTAGAAAAAATATGTGTGGGAGAAAAGAACAGAGAATAAAGCAAATCTAATAAAAATTAACATTTGAGGAACCTGGGTGAGTGTATCCAGGAATTATTTTACTATTCTTGCAATTTTTCTGTAAGTCTAAAATGATTAATATACAGACAAACACACCTTGCAAACATTATAAGGGGGGAAAAAAGAAAAAAAATAATAATATAGAATAGAAAAATAAAAACTATATACTAGAGAGAGTATAAATGACTAGCTACTCAACCTTAGGATTTTAAAATATCCTTTGAGCACAAATTAAAATTATTTACTGACTCTGCTTTTCGTTTCAAAGGACAATGTATATGTTTCAAAAATGAGTAATGTCGAGTTTGTCAAATTCACATCATGAAATTCTGATTTTCATTTTCAACTGAATGAAGAAAAACCCAAATCTATAAGATACTGCAAGCCCAATGGAAAGGCGTTAAGAACTATAATTCCTATGGAAAGATAAAAAATACAGAGGTAGGAAATGATCTATCACTACAGAGACTTCTCAGTACCTATTTACCCAGAACGAAAATATGTAAACTGGTGTTTCAGAAATTATGATAAGCTAAGAAATTATGCCATAAAAGCAGTTATTTTATTTAGTCATGTCTACATAATTCTCTAAAAGGTATACTATCAAAAACAGAATTCACTAAGCCTTAATGAAATAATCTCAGACACTTGTTAAAATGACAGCTCTAAGAAACCACATCATGTTATTTAACAGCTACTGTGCACTCATTTGAGTCTGCTATAATCAAAACTGAACAGAACAAAGCGTGCTTGAAAGAAAAATAAAACTCAACTTTAATCCCCTGTGAAAACCAGTATTATAAGAAAATGTACTGCTGTCATTCATTAAGTGGTGTAAAGAGAAGTCACTTTCTTCAAATATAATAAACGTATTTAGAATTTAAAAAACAAACAAAATTGTTTTCCTCATCCTCCACCGAGATTCCATCAAGTCACCTCCTGTTCTTAAACACACTTGCACTGCAAGGTTTCTGAAGATTAAAAACAATGAACTTTCCTATTCTTAACAACAGTCGATCTGGCGGGATTAAGGACCAGAAGCGGTAACTATAATTTTCAGAGCCTGAGGAAAACTTTAGTGTGTCAAACCCAACTGCAAGCAACGCAGTATGTTTAGAGATTAAAATTATTCTAAAATTTATTAGAAATCTCAACAAGCCACAGTTTTAAAAACAAAATCCAACCTATCTAAAATGGCTTCCTACTTTTCTTTCTAACTTGTATGCTTATGCACAATTAGTTCAATTCTGTGATGGTCACGGCTGACTGGGTCACTCAACATCCTTTGCAAATTCCTCTCTCTTTGTGCTAAGCTGTTGAGACTGGATTTCCTTGTAGCTAGGGGTCCAGATGAGATTTAGGCTCTAGAAGCATTAGCATAAGGCTTCTACTTGGAAATGAGTGAAGAGGGGACAAACGGACAGAGAGCATCCATTTTTTGGACAGTGTGGATCACCGTCAGGCAGCATGTAGCGTAGCTTCCAGAGTTAGCATTTTCCAGATCACGACAGGGCAGGGGCTTCTTTGGCTGTCCAGCTCTGCAGTGGGGCAGCTAAACTACACTGGAGAAAGTCAGTGTGGAAAGTCAGCTAGAATCTGTTCCTCCAGCTCTCTCCATGATTCTGCTTCTTAATACCCTCTAATATACCCCTTTCTGATTAAACTAGCTAGAATGCATTATACTATCTACTTCACCCTGACTGGAATAACAGCTGAACGAAAAGCATGTTTTGACTAGATAAACGACAGTACACCTTTTAGAGAATTATGCAGACATAACTACAGAAAATAACATTATAACATCACATTAACTCATACAACCTTCTCAAATACCTAAAGCTTACAATTGTTACTGTACGTGAGGTAAAATTTTAAATAACTGCTGCTAAAGGTTGCTATGAGTCTGAATTGACTTGCTGGCAACAGGTTTGCTTTTTTTTTTTAAAGCAACTTACCTTGGTAAGAAATTACCTGTACACTAAGCTGTACAGTTCCATCTGTCTTCACTCCTTGGTCAAACAAACTTCGTTCTGGATCCAGCTAAATATGGGTAAAATAAACATTATTTTAGCCCAACCATTAGATTAAGGCCCCTCCCTTTCCTTTATAGACGGATGTACCAAACAGGACAGTTACTAAAACATACTAATGAAACTGTAAAGATACATTCATGTATCCAAACTGTCATATCACTTACTTCTTTCCCAAACTGAAATTTTTTTAACCAATAAGGCAGTAAATAAGAACAATATAAATAACAAAGTTGTGATTTCTTTCAAGCTTGGAAGTCTCGTTTAGGATTTTAAATAATACTAAAAGGAAATTATTCATTCTGTAAATGTATTTAAAGCAGAAGATAATGCTATTTATCTGTCATGAACAAACAAGGGCTTTTAATCAGTGGTGACAATTTATCTAAATCTATTAGCACAGCATTTTGCCTTATCTTCCTTGTAACCAATGCCACACATTACGTTTAAGATCAGGGTTAACTCCAAATCTCTGGTCTCAAAGCTAACGCAGGTTATAGGACTTAGGACCTTATTAGCTGACTCAGCAATGAATATTAGTCGTCATTCTTTACCCTTCTGGTAGTCGTGCTTTTACCCTCTTCATGTCATCTTACAATAAATGCATTTCACACAGTAGCAAACTGACAACAAATTTCTGGACATTTTATGTCACCAGCTTAAAAAAGGGCTTGTGTTATAATTATTTTGAATATATATCTGTGTGTCAGCATATCATACAGCTTTATGTACAAAGCTCTCCCCACTCTCATTCCCAGGAATTCAGCCAATAATGTGGTTACGGTACAGATAAATTTTCTAACACAAAAAGACATATATATACTAAAACCTTAAAATGACTATGCAACTAATTTGAACAGGTACAAGACAGACTGCATAACCCTGCGGACAGGCCAAAGGTGGCAGTTTCGCTTCTTAATATAAGTCTCTGCCTGATGCCTTGTTAAATATTCTCCTGAGGTCAAATTTCTCCCCTATGTGAGACACTAGGATCATCCACTAGAAGCTGCGACAACTGTAACTCTGAACGTGAGCACTCAGGTACGACTACACTAGTTCACTAAGAGCCGGCACAAGGACAAAACTCAAGGATAACATGTGTAATACTCCTCAAAGAAGTGCACTAAGCTGTCTTCGTATCAGCTTTCAAGTCAACATACATCTGAAAATACAAAAGAATTTCTACAACCAGCAAGTATTCTGACTCAAAAGGTGTATCTGGATTAACTGACGAGCGAGGCAGAAGTTGCCATTCTCATATACTTACTCTTGACAAGGAAGAACACAAAACGTTCTTACATCTAAGGCTAACTCTGAATTCTATACCATGAATTATGTCTATTTCCATTTAGGCAACTAAAATTTATTGAGAACCTACGACAGACACTGGGTACTCTGCAGACCATACTTTCATTTTGGTTAGATCAGGTATTATAAAAGAAGCAACAAATGTTACAGTTGAAAGACAACTAAGAGATCAAGTCCAGATTCTCCTTCATTTTACACGTAAGAAAAATTAGGTAAATTCTAGTGACATTAAGCAAGTGGTTAAGAGCTACAGCTGCTAACCAAAAGGTCAGCTGTTCTAATCCACCAGCCACTCCTTGCAAACTGTATGGGGCAGTTCTCCTCTGTCCTATACGGTCACCATGAGTCAGAATCGACTTGACGGCAACGGGTTTGGTTTTATTGATAATATTAATAGATAATAAATGCCAAATGGCCTTCCAAAATGACCATACTAATTTATCCTCTTAGGGGAGGAAAACCTTAAATCCTGTAATTATAACGTTAAAAAAATATTGCCATCACATTGATTGACTTACAGTAACCCTACAGAACAGAGGAGAACTGCCCCATACAGTTTCCAAGGCTGTAATCTTTACGAAAGCAGACTGCCACATCTTTCTCCCACTGAGTGGCTGGTGGGTTTGAACTACCAGCCTTTCAATTAGCAGCCAAGCATTTAAGCACTACACCCCCAACCAAACCAAAACCAAACTCATAGTCATCAAGTCGACTCCGACTCACAGCAACCCCACGGGACACAGTAGAACTGCCCCATACAGTTTCCTAGGCCGTAAATCTTTACGGAAGCAGACTGCCATATCTTTCTCCTGCGGAGTGGACTGATGGGTTTGAACCACTGACTTTCTAGTTAGGAGCCAAGCACTTGACCACTGCACCACCAGGACTCCTTCCTATTGCAATAAACTCCAAGAAATACATAAATTGATAATTACAGTCTTTTTTAAACTGTTTTCTTCTAAATTTTATCTTTTTGTTGTTGCTGGAAATATACACAGCAAAACGTACATCAACTCAACAGTGTCTACATGTACAATTTAGTGGCTTTGATTACATTCTTCAAGTTATGTGGTTGTTCTCGTTTTCCTTTCCTGAATTGTTCCTGCCCCATTAACATAAACTCTTTGCCCCCTAAGTTTACTAATCTAATCTTTTGAGTTGCTGTTGTGACTTTGATCCCATATAGATAGTTCTTAAAAGAGCATAATGCTCAAGGCAGGCCTTTTTTACTAATTAAGCTAAACTATCGTTTGGTTTTTAAAATGACTTCAAGGGATATTTTTGGTTTAAGCTTTAAAGATTATCTCAGGGAAATAGTTTCGGGTTCATCCTCCCTCCATGGCTCCACAAAGTCTAAAGTCCATGAGAATGTAAAATTCTGTTCTGTATTTTCCCCCTTTTTGATCAGGATTCTTCTACGGAATCTTTGATCAAAATGTTTAATAATGGTAGCTGGATGCCATTCAGTTTTTCTGGTCTCATGGCAAAGGAGGCAGTTGTTCATGGAAGCAATTAGCTACACACTCTACATCCTCCTATTCCTGACTCTCCTCATTCCTCTGTTGCTCCAGATGAATACAGACCAATTCTTGAGCTTGAAGGGCCACTTGTAAGCTTTTAAGACAGACACCAGGACCTTCGCAATGAACTAGGAGGTAGAACAGAAGCACTAAACACATTATTAGGCCAATTAACTGGGATGTCCCACGAAACCATGACCCTAAACCCTCCAAACCAAGGAACCAAATCCCATGAGGTGTTTGGTTGTACATAAACAGTCTCAGTAGCTACTTTTTTCTTCTGTCATTATTATAAATATATCTATCCCACAACTTTTGCCAATTCAGCTTTTTACAGGTGTACAATTGAAATAATCGGCTCTGCAACTCTACCCTTAACCAGTGCGATTTTTCCATCTCCGTTAACCCCCCTCTGTACATTAGCCTTTTGTCTTTTTATATAAGTGAGATCATACAATATTTGTCCTTCTGTGATTGGCTTAATGCGGTCAGCATAATGTCTTTATGCTCCATCCACACTGTAGCATGTATCAAGACTTCATTCAATCCTATTGCAAAAAACTCCAAGAAATACATAAATTGATATTTATATTCTTATCAAAAATTTACTATGAGTGAAAAGATGGAAGGGAATGTAGAAATCATTTAGTCAAATTACCTCCTTTAAAAATGAAAAAACTGAGGCTGGAAGAGGTTATAAGCTAGCTTAAAAATAGGGTGTGAGGAGAACACAATTCTTCAGCTTCCAAGGTCAATGTGCTTCCTACCACTCTAAGTTCAAGCACCGATCCAAATTTATTTAAACTTCTCATTTTATATTTGTGAAAGTTAAAAAAGGTGATCAATTTGGTACTCCATCTATAATTTTAAATGGAGGAAATTTTGATGAAAAAATTCCTTTTGCTTAAATTTTATAATACCAAAAAAACCAAACCCATTGCCGTCAAGTCGATTCCGACTCACAGCAGCCCTACAGGACAGAGTAGAACTGCCCCATAGGGTTTCCAAGGAGCAGTTGGGGGATTCAAACTGCCAGCCTTTTGGTTAGCAGCCAAGCTCTCAACCACTGTGCCACCAGGGCTCCCGATTTTATAATAATATAGGTCAAATTTAGTTGTGAAGATAATGGTTACAGCTATAGAGATAAAAGGCTAACAAAAGTATTTCTATGCAGACTTAGATGTTGATATATAAAGCTCAAAAAAATAAAATTACCTGGATATCTTGCAAACAAATTTCATGAGCATCCAACGAACACTGTAGTCTTGGTTCTAGTAGTTTCTTTAAGTTGCCTATTGGCTCATTGATGTCTATGGCCTGGCTTACACATTCAGCTGGGGTGTAGGTTTGTTCTACGATACTAAATATTAAAGGATATAATGGTTAACAATTACATATTTACCCGCGATATTAAAGTAACAATACGCTAAAAACAAAACTAAAAATTAAAATACATTTCTGGATTTGAAAACTCATTTTTACATAGACACTGCTCATAATGGTAGGCTCATCACCAACCAGTTCTGTCAAACTCAATATTGAATTGTACAAAGAAATGCTAGCTTGAAATTTAAAGCACCCTTGAAAATATGCTTCACTATGTATATACGTACGCATGTGTGTATACCAAGAATGAAACCCATTGCGGTAGAGTCGATTCTGATTCATAGCGACCCTACAGGACAGAGCAGAACTGCCCCATAGATTTACAAGGAGCAGCTGGTAGGTTTGAACTGCTGATGTTTTGGTTAGCAGCCAATCTCTTAACCACTGAGCCACTAGGGTTCCAATGTGTATATACATATATATATATACCATATACATAATACTTAAGGAAAAATGTTTACACTTATATTTGCAAGTTATTTTGAAGAATTTTAGGCGCAGGAGGAAATGTCTCCGTGAAATCTGTATGCCTCCTGTACTGTTCAATTTCCCTCCCCAACATAAATACAATTTTATAAATATAAATTGCTAAGATATGAAAATATAAGTTATATAAAATACTTACCATTTAACTTAATCTAAAAACTACTGGTTATAACTGGCATAACCAATTGCCATCAGCTGACCCCAACTCACAGCGACCCCATGTGTATCAAGGTAGAACTGTGCTCCATAGTGTTTTCCCCCCAACAATAGAGGATTTAGCAAATAAAATATGGCAATGATGTTATTTATGTAAGGAATACAACTATTTAATATAGTGGTGCTCCAGAGGGTTTTCAATGGCTGATTTTTTCAGAAGTAGACTGATAGGCCTTTTTCCCAACACATCTCTGGGTAGACTTGAACCTCCACCTTTCAGTTAGCAGCTGGGCACATACACATTTCACACCACCCAGGGACTCCAATATTTAGCATAGCTCCACATTAAAAAAAAAAAAAGTATCAACATCCTTCCTTTAAAACTCTCTTAGGACTCTTTTGTATTGTTTTTCATACCTTGAATCCTTAAAAAAAAACAAAAAAACAAAAAAAAAAAACCTCTGCTGTCTTGTAGATTTTGACTCATAGCGACCCCACAGGACAGAGCAGACTGCTCCATAGGGTTCCCAAGGCTATAATCTTTGCAGGAGGATCCCTGGTGGAGCAGTGGTTTAAGAGCTCGGCTGATAACAGAAAGGTCAGCGTCAAACCCACTAGTCACTCCTTGGGAGAAAGATGTGGCAGGCTGCTTCCATAAAGATTTACAGTCTTGGAAACCCCGTGGGGTAGTTCTACTCTGTCACATGAGGTATGGTACAAGTTGGAATCGACTTGATGGCACCCAGCAACAACAACCTTTATGGAAGCAGACTGCCACATCTTTCTCCTGTGGAGTGGTTGGTGGGCTGGAATTGCCAACCTTTTGGTTAGCAGCCAAGTGCTTAATCACCGAGCCAACCAGGGCTCCTTCCTCAAATCCTACCAAACCATAAATTCTTTGAGGCTGTGTTAAGTAATTCTACATCTCTTTAGATCCTTATGTGGGACCAAAAAAAGGTACAAATAAATATTTCCTGAATTAGTAAACTTGGAATTCAATTAAATTTCAAAATGTTTAAATATGATTTAAATCTCATTTGCAGTTATCAAAAACAGTATTAAAAAATTAGTCCAGTTCCATTTTCACATAAATTTCAAGTGGTATAATGTGCTATCTACCACTCGAGATAGTCAATGAATGTACATAGCCCAAATTTTTTCTAAAACTTTAAAAAAATTTATAAAATAGACCACTTCATGAATAAAAATATAGATTATATTAAAGTAATACTAAACTATTGTTATTTTTCAAGGTAAAAAAATTTGGCTAAGTAAGCATATTTACTAAACTTTGGCATAATACGCTATATTTCTTTTTTGTAAAAATGACTTTAAAAGATTCAGATGTTGCTTTAAGATATATTGAAAAGCATTATTTTATATGGACTCAACATTTTTAAATAATTTAAATTTTTGGTTGCCATTTAAACCTTGGAAGATTTTATACCAAAATCTGAATTTCCAATTTCTCTTGAAAAATTCTGGATGACCTCACATCACTGGGCCTAAATTCCTGTACAGCAATGATCTGCTGCAGTTAAACAGGAACTACCTGCTCCCTTTACACAGCTACTCTCCCAGATCAACACAATCACTACCAATTTTCACACCAGGGGCCCACGAAAGTTTTCTGTGAAGGGCCAGACAGTACATGGTCAAGGCTTTATGGGCACTCGTGTGAGCGTGTGTATAAAAATAAACATGTACACCAAGCTCTGTGATGACCCCCAGTCATCCCACCTTCTAACACTCACACCCTTCCATAGTTCCCTCCCATGTCATACACTATGGCTGGATTGTGTGACCAAAAGACTAAGGCAGAAATGAAATGTCAGAAATTAACTTATTTAAGACTGGACTGGACTGTGGGGCATAAAACGATAATTGTGAAGAGTGTGCTTCTTAGCTTATGTAGATACATGAGACTAAATGGGCGGCTCCTGTCTGGAGGTGAGATGAGAAGGCAGAGAGGGTCAGGAGCTCGTTGAATGGACATGGGAAATCTGGGGTGGAAAGGAGGAGTGTGTTGTCACAGTATAGGGAGAGCAACTAGGGTCACGTAACAATGCGTGTATACATTTTTGTATGAGAAACTAACTTGAATTGTAAACCTGCACTTAAAAGCACAACAATAAAAAAAAAAAAAAGAAATTAAGTTGTTTAAAAAAACACTGCAGCCTCTGCCTCCACATGCTTCCCATCTCAGACCACTTGGGGGTAGCCAGCTACCATGTCATGAGCAGCACTATAGAGGGGCCCACGCGGTGAGAGACTGAGGTGTCCTGCCAACAGTCTTGTGAGTGATCTTGGAGACAGATCCTCTAGCTCCAGCCAAGTATTCGGATGACTGCAGCCCATTCCAACAGCTTTAACTGCAACCTCAGGAAATACCATGAGCCAGAACCACCCAGCCACGGTGTTCCCTGGTTCCTGAGCCTGAGAAACTACGAGCAATAATAAATGCTTGTGGTTTAAACTGTTAAGTTTTGGGGTGATTTGTTAGTCCCCCAAATTAAATATATTAAATGGATTAAAAAAAAAAAAATCAAGCAAAACATGTAGTATCTCTATTCCTTCTTTCTTTTTTCCTGCTGTAGAAAAGAGAATAACTAAGCATGTTAAAAAGCTCTATTAAAAATTTAAGGTTTTTTATCCCAGCTGCACTCTCAACACTTAGCATCCTACTTAACCTTAGGAATATCTCCTTGTCCATTCCCACCATAGTAGGTCTAAACTTGTGATAGTCTCTGAATTTCTCTACTCCTCTCAGTCCCTTTGACTTTCAGCATATTATCTCATCACCTGCGTTACAGAGTAAAATAGCAACTCTTAGCCATTACCTTCCTTAACCTTCTTTGCTTGACTCCCAACTCTTTTTTCTACCCATATTCCCTCCTTGGATTCTAAACTCATCACCACTGCCCTCCTGCCTTAATGGAAAAGGTTTAATAGCAGAATTAACATCTTTCACTGCACTGTATGCTTAGTACTGAATATATAATTTTCCATGTGTCTGCATGCCTAGTCAAACACAGTGTGGCCTCTATAAGGGCAGACACTATACCACTTATTTATATATTCCTGGCAGTTACTAGCTGACAGCAGTTACTGATACTTGTTAAATTAAATCAGGATTGAATTAAGTTGTTATTTCTAAAATAAAAGTAATCAGGAAAGGAATAAGCGATCAAACAGTGCCCTAGCGGGAAAAACTATCACAATCAACTGCATAATCATTATCACCTACATTTATTTCTAATTTTAGTTTAAAACTACCTTTCCCTCCCAGTTATAAATCCATTAAGTCAGAGAAAACAAAAGCAATACATTATCCTCTAAAATGCTGAGGTGAGTTAAAAAAACAAACAAAAAAACCTATGGTTTGATTCTTGATTTTAATTAGGTATATCGATAAAAAGTGATAAATTCAGAAAACACCAACCTTTCTTCTGTACACTCTGGTTTCTCCGTTCCATCAATCTCAATTTCTATCAGCTCCTCTGCTTCTCTTTTAGTCATGGTTGAAGTCTTCAAGAGGGCAGTCCTTTAAGAGTCAAATTTTAAAACACTTTGAAATTATCTGCATAAACAGAAATGCTATACAGGAAGCAGAGACTCAATTCAAATAAAAGTACAGGGGAAGTAAAGACGGGGATGTTATCTTCACACACAGAAGAGAATCCACAAACGAAATGTTTAACTGGTACTTATTAGCCTGATGTGACTTCATCATTCCATTTGATTTATTGGGATATTTTTAGGCCCAATCTCAGTCAATTGAGTTAATTGAAGTTATTTCAAAAGAAAGTGAAAGAGGATGTTAACTATACTAAGGCAACTCATAATCTTAATAGATTTAAATCTGTAGCTTAAAAATCAACATAGAGATAAACTACAATTGTTCAGCTAAAATCTGTACAGTATTATCAGAATGTACTGCAAGGAACCACACTAACAGCGATATAAATTAATCAGTTAGGATCTGTGTTATAAGCTACATATCTTATAAAACCTAGTACAATATTCTAAAATAGCAATCTAAGGTAACAAAATAAATACAGATATGCACATTCTGCTTACACACTAGAATTTTTTTTTTTTTCCAGATGTGGTTTTATACATTTTGAAGAAACCACTACTCCAGTTCCAGAGGCATTAATGCTGTAAGTTCCAGGTCCAATTTACTACAACTAAAAAGGCCCATCTTTGACTTACAAAGAATGTCCCTTAAATTTGATATTCCCTATTTTTTGGCAAAAAGTCTGTGCTCCTATTTTCAAGATTTGACAAAATCCTGAATTCAAATATTCAAATATAAAAAGAACTCAAATATTCATTTCTATTAATAATAACCACGATTACTGAGCGTCAAGCACTGTTATCAAATGCTTTACATAATACTATCCTATTCTGAAGGAGCCTTGGTGGCACAATGGTTAAGTACTCGGCTGCTAACCAAAAGCTCAGAAGTTTGAACTCACCAGCTTCTCTGCAGGAGAAAAAAACCTGGCAATCTGCCCCCGTAGAGATTATAGCCTAGAAAACACTACGGGGCAGTTCTACTCTGTCCTATAAGGTGGCTATGATTTGGAACCGACCAGACGGCACGCAACAATAATCTTATTTTGAGCCTACCCTCATACATATACTATCCAGGGAATAGTGAGGTTGAAATGCCTATGGCTCCACAATGCCACTTGTTAGGTACACCAACTTAAGTATACGTTACTCCAGGTAGGGTTGAACTATGCTTTGTTCGATGATAACAACAAAAAGCCAAAAACCTGTTGCTGTTGATTCCAACTCACAGCAACCAATACCAGCCATAATGAAATTCAAAGACTTCACAATGGCCATCAAGGCCCTCTGTGATCTACCTCACCACCACCCTGTCAGTGGACTCCCTTTCTGTCTCCCACACTGCCCTCCTTAACCTGTCCTCGCATTGGCCTGCCCTAAGACCTCTGCTCTCACTGTTCAGTCCACCCAGAATGCACTGCCCCTAGATGTTCTCTTGGCTAAATCTCTCTCCTTTTTCAAGCCTCCACTCAAATCTCATCTTCTCAATGGGATCCTGACCACTCCATTTAATTCTGTAACCTGCCTCCTCTATACTGCTTTATTTTTTCTTCTTTTCCATAGCATTTGCTTTCTATTATATAATTATTACATTTATGATCTTTCTTCCCTCGTTGGAGCATCATCAGAGTGCAAAGATCAAAACCGTTCAAAAGTGATCCCTCCTTTAAAAAAATACAAAACCCCCTGCCATCAAGTCAACTCCGACTCACAGCAACCCTACAGGACAGAGTAGAACTGCCCCATAGGGTTTCCAAGGAGCAGCTGGCGGATTCAAACTGCTGACTTCTGGGTAAACAGCTGAGCTCTTAACCACTGAGCCATCAGGGCTCCAGAAAGAGACCCCAGAAACTTAAATTGGTTTGTCTAGACTGGGAACTTCCCCTTATTTTTTGGAGTGGAAAGGACATTACCAGTCCTCAATCTCCCAAGGGATCACGGTCTCTGTAGTAGGCAGAATCATGGCCCAGAACCTGTGAATATGTTAGACTACATGGCAAAGGAGAATTAAAGTTGATGGAATTAAGGTTACTAATCAGCTGATCTTAAAGTAGGGAGATTATAATGGATTATCTGGTGAGCCCAACGAAATCACAAGAATCCTTAAAAGTGGACCAGGGAGTCAGAATAGAGCAAGAATCACTAAATGTGAGAACTCCACTGTCTGGAGATGATGGTTTTAAAGATGGAGCAACGATACAATGAGCCAAAGAACACGGGCAACCTGTAGAAGCTGGAAAAAGCAAGGAGTGTATTTTCCCCTAGAGCCCCCAGAAGAAACACAGCCCTGCCAACACCAGATTTTAGCCCAGTGAGACTAATTTCAGACTTCTAACTTCCAGAACTATAAGACAATAAGTTGGTAGTGTTTTTAAGGCACTAAATTGTGGTCATTTGTTACAGTAACACTAGGAAATTTACACATTCTCCTTTCCTGCTCTAGAAGGAGCTGTAACTTCCCTCAGGTCCAACATCTCCAACTCCTGGATGGCTGGATTTCTGACAACTTAGTCTACAAGCAGCTGGCACCCAAATCTACTTACCTGGCACAAAAATGGTCTGATCTTTCCCACATTACTAAAGCTGCTCTTACACTTGTCCTATAAAAAGGAAGAATAAGGGGATGGGGTTCTCCACTTGGATAGACACACGCAATGCATGTCTAGCAGACTGCCTAGGTCCCAGCAAGCTCATCTTTGGGACGATGGAAGGATGAGAGACCTTTATCTCTTTTTCTTGCTGACTGGCCTACTAAGTCTCCCCTTTGCCCCAATATAGCCTATTTCTTAATGGATGTTATATGTAAAATTGTGGAATTCATCCTGAATGCTATTGCTAAACAGGTGGTGACTCAGTAGGGACCCTACCTTGCAGGACAGACTATAAGCTCTACAAGAGGAGGGCTGTTTGTTTGTTCACAGATGTATAAAACTACCCTGAACAGTGACTTGTGCTTATTAGGCAATCCATTAATGTGGTGAATAAACAAATCTTATAAAGACTTTTCCCACGTATAAAAGTGACTCCAGATGTCATAAAGACTAAACGTGAAAGGTAAAACTATAAATTTAACAGAAAAAAATGGTGGGTTTTTTTTTGCAGCATAAAGGTAGAAAAGGATTTCTTAAAAATAATTCCAAAGAGAATAAACCACAAGGAGAAATGATGCATTTAACCACATAAAAATTAAGGTTTCTGTTCAATAGGTAGGCTACGAAGTGAGAAAAGATTTTCCTACATCTAAAAGTGACAAAGGACTATAGACAACGAAATCTTGCAAACTGATAACAAACCCCTCCCTCCAAAGAAAAGTCAAGACATTTAAAAAGTTGGCAAACCACAGGAAAAGGCAATTCACATAACAGGCTAATGATATGAAGAAATGTTCAAACTGAAATCATTCAAAAAAGCAATTTAGAACAAAGAACTACTACTTATATACCATATATATAAATACACATATGGCAAAAATTAGAAAGTAGAGAAACAAAAGATTTCAGCAGAGACACAGGGATATAAGAATTCACTGCCTCTGTTGATGGGTACCCCCCCCCCAAAAAAAAAACCTGCTGTTGATTGCAACTCATAGCGGGTCTATCTATTCTGGAGAAAAATCTAGCAACACTTGCTCAACTCAAATATGCTTATACATGTGACCCAATTTTGTCCCTAGATAAACACCCCAGAGAGAAATTCTCACATGATTGAAAATAAGATGTTCAGGACAGCTTCGGTGGAGACAGCTGAAAGCTGGAGGCAATCTATCCTAAGAAAATACCTACAAAAGCAAATATGGAAGAAGCACACACTATGGAATCCTAGTAGCAGCAAAAAATGAGGAAAAATATAAACAAAGAAACATAAATAAATCATAAAAACTGTTTTGTACAGAATACAGTGAGAAAAAGAACAGTTCACAGAACAGCGCTTAAAAAGATCACTGATGCATTATTTTTCACGGCCTGCAAGGAGGCCCATTTCCATCTCCCAATCAAATTTTTAAAAAGAAGAGAAAACAAGCCGATTTTCTGGGAACTCTGGAAAAACAGAAAAGCATACGAAGAAGTAACTAAAGGCCAGGAAATGGTCCTAATGGCTTGTTAGTAGGGATTCTTGTGGCCTCCTTTAATATAAACATTAAACCAGGGAGGTGCTGGAAATGAATCTATCCCATGACCTTCCAAAAGTTACAGATCAGTCCCCAGAGTGTGCCAAATAGAGAAAAAAATGAACCCTATACTGTCTTGGAAAAATGATGTTACTCATAATCTCTGAATTGATCGTTGTCCCTCAGTTCTCTAAACTAAGCCTAGAAAAGCAACGGTCCAGAGTTGGGAAACCGTTCAAATCTCTTACCAGTGCCTGAGAAGGTCTTAGCTATTTTTCTGGAACCAATTCCCCGAGATCCTACGTCAATACTTTAGGAAACAGAGATGAGAACATTACTTGGAGTCTCTCCATCTCAAGTCAACAGTTTTAAGTACTCAGCCTCTGCACACTCTCAGGACTTGCTTCGATTTAACATCTAGCTTATTATTGATTTATTACCTCATGACTATATAACCTCCAAGATATATGCTCCTGTATATACAATCCAGGTCAAGTGACTCAAGCTCATCCAGTGTCAGGTACGACTAAAAATAAATACGCTTGGAAAGCCTAGATCAAACCCTAGGACAGCGATACTACTACTTCAAACACTCGCTGAAGAGCTGACCAGATTCTTCTGAAGTTTAAGACGACACAGCATGTCTCAGAATTTCCTCACTGCCCCGTTCTTCACACTTTGCTCAAGTTCATCCTTTGAAATCTTTGCTCCTCCCAGAGTCGGATATACTGCTATTATTAGTGGAAACTACTAACTGCATTTTATTTCTAAACTACTATTCCTCAATGCAATATTAGTTTGTCCTCCCTGCTGTTAAGCTAATAAGGATAGGATCCCTAAATATAAATGGGTTACTTTTTACAACACAAAAGAACGAAAAAAGTTAGCAAACTACGTTAACCCATTGTTATCCCTTTGTCTCACTTCCTCGTTTTTAAAAGAAACTCAAACGGCACCACAGACATCACTAAGAAGCTTTGGAACAAGTACGGGCCAGTTGTAGAAAGAAACTGAAATTGGAATGAAGGTGAATCGTGGAGGCCAGCGAGGGGAGTGCTGACCGCCGAGCGCGGCGGAGTGGACCGGGAGAGAGCGGCGAGAAGGGACACGTACTGGCCGGTCCCGGGCGCGGCGGGGCGGCTCCGGGGTTCGCGGCCTCCCGGGGCCCCGCGCCGCGCGCCCCTCCCCTCCGTTCCTAGCGCAGCTCTCCCGCCCCTCCCCACCCGACTCCTTCTAGTCTCACGAACGGAAATGGGAGTCACAGCGCCGGGGACCAGCGGAAACAAAACACAGAGGCGGGCGCGGGGGGGCCGCAGGGGGGAAGAAGGCCCCGGAACGAGGCCGGCCCGCGCGGGCCCGCGCTCCCTTCCTCCCCCGCGGCCGCACTCACCCGCTCTGGAACCGGCCCTGTCGCCCCCGCCCGCGCTCCTCAGCCGGCTGAGAACGGCAGCGGCCCCGACTCCGCGTGCAGCGTCTTTCCGGGTAAGACCTGAAGGTCCTACGACTCGAGTGCGAGGCCCCCGGGCCCTTCCCACGAAATCGGCGTTGAGAAACTCCAACCCCCCCTCCCGCCTCCCAGGCACCCCCGAGTCCAGGACTACAACTCCCAGCAGGTTGCGCGAAAGGAACGCCCGCGGCAACGGAGGCTCACGAGGCACAAACAAGCACAACGCCCCAATCCGTTCTTTTTTTTTACACTCTTTCGCTTTCCCTGTACACTCATACACCTCGACAACCCCAAGAAACAGAAGGCTAACTCCCAGTAGGGGCTGAACTGAGGGAGAGGCCACTCAAAGTGCCCACATGTATAGAACAAGATTTCCAGGGGGAAAAAAGAGTAGGTCAAGTTAGGCGAAGGAAAGATGGCGGAGACTTCGCTAGGGGACCCGGAAGCACTTACCCCCCACTTCCTCCTCCTGTTTGGCTTCAGTCTCACCTAGAGCCGTCCGGTGGCGGACCGTCTTCGAGACGCTTCCTGTCCGGTGAGCGAAGACCGAGTGCAGCGCGGCCCATAATGCATTGCGTTGGCGGGGAGGAGGGTGGGGGTGGAGCCAGAGCCGGAAGTAGAACGGCGGCGGCGGCGGCGCCGGTGACTCTCTGGCAGCTCGGGACTCAAGTGCAAGGTGACTGGGAGGGTAGTTGAACCAGCTTGGCCGCTTGCGACTCCGGTTCTGGGTTTCTTCACGGGGCCTGGGCTGCCCGTCACCCTGCCCTACAGGAGGAGAGAGCAGCCCTATGTCCCGGGCACTTCCGCGGCCTGGTCCGAGGTCACGTTGACCTCGGCGCTTTTATGCCCTGAAGCTTGAGTGGCTCAATAAATAATCCTGACAATACCCGTTCTGAGGGCAAACGGAGGGGGTGGCGGTGAGGCAGTGAAGCGGGGTCACGAGTCCGCAGCCTGGCTGGAGCAAGTTAAGGTCAGCCGCGCGGGGCAGGTCTGCGGCCAGGTCAGCCCAACCGGGCCGCGCGGGAGACTCTTCTGAATTATTTAGGCAGGACAGGCACCACAAGAGGGAGGGAGAAGGGCGATAGTAATCCTGAAAGTTTGCATTCCAGCGAAAAATGTTCGTGGTGCTAGAACTTCCTTAGGCACTCTGGGGGTTGACTTTAGGAATATTCACTGAAGAGGCAGTAAACAGACTAACCTTTGGCTTGTCAGTCATCGCTTTAAATGCCCGAGCCATGCACTCCCACCACAAGGCCTCTGCACATGCCGTACCCTTTGCTTGTAATCCTCTTTCTTCCTTTATTACCTTCTCATTCTTCAAGTAATAGGGAAGCCTTGCCCAATCTTCCTGAGCATGCCCCTCGTGACACCCCGTAAACCAAAAACCCGTTGGCTGTCAGTTGATTCCGACTCATAGTGACCCTATAGGTCAGAGAAGAACTGCCCCATACGGTTTCCAAGGAGCAGCTGGTGGATTCGAACTGCTGACCTTTTGCTTAGCAGTCATAGCTCTTAATCACTGTGCCACCAGGGCTCCGTGACACCCCATAACCCATTTAAAAAACCGTTGCCGTCGAGTCCGTTCCACTCATAGCGACCCTATAGGATAGAGTTGAACTGCCACATAGGGTTTCCAAGGATCAGCTGGTGGATTCGAACCGCCAACCTTTTGGTTAGCAGTCGTAGCTCTTACCCATTGTGGCAGCAGGGATCTGTGACACCCCACAGTAGCAGTCAAATATAGAACTTACCACAGTTGGTATTGGATGCTGATTTGTAGAACGCATCTGTCTTCTGTGTGGCAATAGACAATCCACACTCAGTATTTATTCCTTGAGAAAAAAGAAAGAAAATAAAGAAGGAAGAAGTTTGGATACTGAGAGGAATGTGTCCATTTTTTGGACAGGTTGAGTCTAGGAGACCTGTAGGACTTAAGAGGGGAAGAGAGCTCTTTAATATATAGGTTTGGAGTTTAGGAGGAAAAAAATCAAAATTAGAGATGTGATTTGGAAATCATTAGTACTTGTTTTTTTGTTGGTGGTCCATTGGGTTGATTTCAACTGATAGATAATCCAAATAGTGTAAATGGATTTCACCTATGCTATAGGGTCCCTGAAGCCCTGGTTGGTGCAGTGGTTAAGAGCTACAGCTGCTAACCAAAGGGTTGGCAGTTTGAATCCGCCAGCCGCCCTCCTTGAAAACCGTATAGGGCGGTTCTACTCTGTCCTGTAGGGTCGCTATGAGTTGGAATCAACTCAACGGCTACTGTTTGGTTTGGTTTTTGCATAGGGTCGCTATCAGTCAGAATCCAGTGGACGCAACAGGTGTGTATGTGGTAGGCTTGACATTTTTGCAGCCATTTCTGCCTTAGAGCAAATTCACTGTGGGAATGTGGGCAATTTAATAACCTTTTTCAGGCATGGTTTTATCATCTGTAAACGAAGGATAAGAACACTTTCCTCTAATAGTATTCCTTTAAGGGTACCAAAAACCAAAAAACCTGTTGCCCTCGACCTTTTGGTTAGCAGCCAAGCTCTTAACCACAGCGCCACAAGGGCTCGGTAGGGGTACAAGGAGAGAATTAGTATGGAAATAGTTTACAAAGTATTTAGGACTAACCAATTGTTAGGTCACCTTACTGCTGAATGTTAAGTGTATCTTTAGGTTGCCAAAAGGGAAAATATACATTGAGTTGCATAATACTTTTTTTACATATTTGTGTTTGAGTCATATTCCACCCCCGTGTGCCTCGACCAGATATTTAGAAAAGAAAGAAGGAACAAGTTTTGATACGGAGAGAATGTGGTCATTTTTTGGACAAGATGAGTTTTAGAAACCTCTAAACCTCTGTTATGGATTGAGTTGTGTCCCCCCAAAAAATGTGTCAACTTGGTTAGGCCATGTTTCCCAGTATTGTGTGGTTGTCCTCCATTTTGTGATTGTAATTTTCATGTGTTGTAAATCCTAATCTCTGCCTGGGGTTAATGAGGCAAGATTAGATTATGTTAAAGAGGATTAGGGTGGGATTGTAACAACCTTACTAAGGTCACATCCCTGATCCAATGTAAAGGGAGTTTCCCTGGGATGTGGCCTGTTTGCCTTTTATTTTACAAGAGATAAAAGGAAAGGGAAGAAAACAGAGAATGGGGGACCTCATACCACCAAGAAAGCAGCTCCAGAAGCAGAGTGCATCCTTTAGACCTGAGGTTCCTGTGTGGAGAACCTCCTAGACTAAGGGAAGATTGATGACAAGCACCTTCCTCCAGAGCTGACAGAGAGAGAGAGAGAGCCTTTCCCTGGAACTGGTGCCCTGAATTTGGACTTGCTGCCTACTAGACTTTCAGAGAATAAATTTCTCTTTGTTAAAGCCATCCACGTATGGTATTTCTGTTACAGCAGCACTAGATGACTAAGACAGCTTCAGTTTCTGTATATGTAAAATGGGAATGATAATAAGAGGCACCTTTTGGGGTCGTTTGTTGTTTCTTGGAGTTTTTCTCAAGGATTTCCTCTGGCAGGGTATAAGAATTCTTTTCATTTCTTCAAATACTTGGCTTTCACCCTTGTAGGTAAAGGATACTTGTTGATTGGAGGGTTTCTTTTGGTAGTTTTTAAATGCTATTCCAGGGTTATGCAACCTTGTTTTTTTGGACTGGATAATTGGGGGCTGTCCTGTTTAGCACTCATCCCTGGCCTCAATCTGCTAGATGCCAGTAGCACCCATCCCAGTAATGACAACCAAAAATGTTTTCAGACATTGCCAAGTACCCCCTTGTGGGGTGGATAAACTCCCACCTTTCCTCCCCAACTCCTGTTTGAGGATCCCTGCTACTCTGCTGTCTTCTAGCTTAGTGCCTCTCTGTGGTTGTTTTTTTTTTTTCCTTCTCAGTTTGTTTTTTTCCCCAACTTCTGTAGAAGGATACTTAATGAACAATATAATAAAAGTGAATTACTAGAAAAATGAAATGAAAAAAAAATGGAGACATAGAAGCCGTAATTTTTTATCATTATTAAATTTAGCAGGCATAAATTACTCTAAAATTGTATAAAAGTTTCTAAACACTTATTCCCAATTTATGTGTTACTGTAGATCAGTACAGTACCAGTGGTTCAAGGACCACACTTTCAGCAGCACCATTATAACTTAAAGGCACCCTGCTGGTGCAGTGGTTAAGCGCTTGGAAGGTCCTCAGGAGAAGGATGTGGCTGTCTGCTTCCTTGGAAACCCTATGAGGGCAGTTCTACTCTGGCATATAGGGTCGCTATAAGTTGGAATCTACTGAGTGGCAATGGGTGTTGTTTTTTTTTTGTTTTGTTTTTTAATAACTTAGTAGTAAGTCCAGTGTCAGTGTGATTATTATTATTAGGTAATTGGATGTGTTTGGAGGGAGGGTACAGGGAGCATGTTAGCATGTCAGGTTTTTGCTTTATCTTTAAGGTTCAGAAATTTCACCAGGCTATATTGAGGTATGGAGTCCCTGAGTGGTGCAAGTGGTTAATGCGCTTGGCTGCTAACTGAAAGGTTGGAGCTTCACATCCACCCAGGGGCACCTTGGAAGAAATGCCTGATGATCTACTTCTAAAAACATCAGCCATTGAAAACTATGGAGCACAGTTCTACTGTGACACACGTAGGGTCACCATGAGTTGGAATCAACTTGACGACAACTGGTTTGGTTTGGTTTTGTTTTTATACTGTGGTGTGAATCTTTTATCACTATTCCAACATAGGGTTTGGTAAACTCAATTGAGAGGCTCAGTCATCATCTGAGGAAAATTTTCTTTTGCTAATTATTCATTGTCTCCTTTTCTGTCCCTTTCTTCTGGAATTCCTGTTTGCATATGTTTTTGTAGTTTTGAATACTTTTTACACTTGATCTTTCAGGCCACTAAATAAGGACTTAACAGGGATCATCTTGTCCTTTAGTTTATTTACTGAATTTTTTTTTATTTAAAAAATCATGTATTTTAGCTTAAGGAAGTCTGAGGACTTGGAAGTCTTTAAGTGCTTATTTTTAAAATTCAGGTTTTCATCTTTAGAAATGCTGTTTCACTGGGTATGCTCACGAGGTTGTACTGCTTGATGCTCCCCTCTCTTGCACTGGGCTGCTTTGGGCTGATGGCAGTTTTCCTTTGCTCGTTCTTTTGGACTTAGGTTTGGTGTTGCAGTGGTGTTGAAGGGCTGCAGTCCTGGAGTTGTAGCGGGCAGAGCAGCCTCTGCCTATGAGCCTGTGAAGTAGAACGTGCCAGACGATTATTCCTAGTTGAGGCAACTGTGTTCAGTCTCACTGCCCAGCTCCCTTCAGGCCTTTTGAGGGGGTCAGAGAAACACGGGGTATTAATTTGGGGCTCATTGTTCTTTTCTTGCTGGTGGTAGGTACAGTAGTTTTCTAACAACCTAGTTCTACTATTTTCTCTGGTCCAAGACCAAGTTCAAGGGAGAAGAAACACACCATACCAGATCTTGTGCTTTCTTCTGACCTTTACCCTACTGGAGCCACATGCCTGAGTTATTCCCCTGTTCCTAGGTCCCCATGGCCATTTGGTTAAGAAGCAAAATATTTGCAATGGAGGGAGGGAAAGGGAGCTATGGTCAGTGACTGTCCCAGCATTCTACTCTCTCTAGACTGACTTCTGGTGTGATTTAGTTCTGTTATAATTAGAAGAATTAGTTTCCCATTATATGATATATTTAGAAGTTTTTTACAATTATACATGCATATACGTTTTAAAGGTATTAATATTCCGGTGCTTATTTTCAGTAACCACGTCACCATGATCCTCCAGAGGCTCTTCAGGTTCTCCTCTGTCATCCGGTCTGCAGTCTCAGTCCATTTACGGAGGAACGTTGGCGTTACAGCGGTGGCATTTAATAAGGAACTTGATCCTATACAGAAACTTTTCGTGGACAAGATTAGAGAATACAGATCTAAGCGACAGTAAGTGGATATATAATCAACTGTGGTGTACATATAAATATTCAAAGTATGTCAGTTTCAAAATGGTGATTAAAAAAATTGCTTGGGGTTTGAAAGTATCTTAAGAGCTTCCAGACCTGATTGTAGAGAAATTCATAGATGCATATGGGATCTTAGAAATCATCTGGTAACGAATGCTGTTTGAGAAAACCAGGTACTAGACATTGATTAGCCTGAGCTCATAAAACTAGTGGGGGAAAACTATATAATCAGAGTATCCTAACTCAATTTAGTGCCCTTTCTGTGACATCCTGATTTGGGGAAATGTATAAACACAGCATTTTTTCCTTAATGCTGTTTCTGTGGTTGTAGATGTCTAGGAGTGTCAAAGGACAAAAAGCTATGAAGTGGTATAAAGTAAGTCCAGGAAAAACATGGTTACAGACCTCACAGTGTTAAAGGTGGATGAGGACCTTAGCCATCATGAAGGCTAGCCCCTAAACCTTAGGAAAAGTGGTATACACTGAACTATTCCAGTTTCTTTCAGTTAGCTATATACTGTGTACAAAACACAGGGCTATTAACTGTTTTAGGCTGCAGAGAAAGAGGCTTCTTCAATATTTGTAAAGTCTGCTAGGGATAGAAAGCTTATAAGCAAGTAACTATAATGTAAGGTAAAATGAGTTAGGGGGCAGTGGTGATTCAGTGGTAGAATTCTTGCCTTCCGTGTGGGAAACCCAGCCAGTGCACCTCACATGCAGTCACCACTCATCTGTCAGTGGAGGCTTGCATGTTGCTATAATGCTGTTTAGGTTTCATGGGAGCTTCCAGACTAAGATGACTAGGAAGAAAGGTCTGGTGATCTCCTCTAGAAAAGTCAGCCAACAAAAACCCTAGGGATCTCAATTAGTCCACACCACAACCGATCATGGGAGTGGCGCAGGACAGACTATTTCATTCCGTTGTGCATGGGGTCGCCATGAGTCAGAGGCTGGCTCATAGGAGCTAACAACAACAAAAATGGGTTAGGTGCTAAGATACTGATACATTCAGTATTTGGGAGTTTGCAGGGAGGACTGCTTTCTAGTCAGAGGTATTTCAGAAGGCTTCTTGGAAGAGTTAATACTTTATCTCAGCTTTGAAGAAAGTATTTGGGATCATTCATCCTTCATGAGAATCTCATGATTACGGATTCTCCTCCTGATTTTGTGTAAATTTACGCACACAGTTCTGCTTATAGCTGGAGGGAGTTCTGAAACTCCCAGAAGGTCATCAGTAGACACCCACCCCCAGAGGTCTACCCCAGGTTGACTGGTGTAAGGGAGGGTGAGAGTGGTTGCACAACTCAGTGATGATAATCCATGTCACTGAATTGTACACGTAGAAATTGTTGAATTGGTGTATGTTCACTGTGTATATTCTCAACAACAACAACAAAAAGGTTATGACATTACCAAAAATAAGGAGAAATAGTGTAGGGGTTAAAGTGTATTAAGATACCATGTGCTGTATAGACATTATTGTGAAACCACAGATGGTATCTGCATTTTATATACGAGAAAACCAAGGCTGAAAGGTTAGAATTGGCCTAAAATTACATCATTCAGTAAGTAGAGTAACTGAGATCTTAAGCCAGGTCCATTTGAACTCCAGACCCCATTCTTTGTCTACATGCCTTTCTGACAAAAAGGTAATGCATTCCATTGAAAACGATAGCATCTGGTGTCACAGTGGTTAAATGCTTGGCTGCTAACCGAAAGGTCAGCAGCCACCAGCCTCCCCACGGAAGAAAAGACCTGGTGATCTACTCCCGTAAAGATTACAGCCTAGGAAACCCTGTGGAGCAGTTCTACTCTGTCCTATAGGGTTGCTGTGAGTTGTAATCTAGTCGATGGCATACAACAACAACATGTTTCTGTTATTAGAAGTTTAATGGTCTTGGTATCTGGAAACTGCCAAAGATGTGGGAGACTAAGCAGGCATGCAGGACTGGCCGGGAAATTTGAATGTCTTCTGTCCAGAGGTTGTGAACTCTTGATGTTGTTTGCACTTTGTCCTTCAAAGCCTGTCCAGTAAGAAGTCAATCCTGAGGTGTAATCTGAATCTAAGGAATCTGATTGATTCAGTCATTTGTGCAAAATACACAGCCTGGAGAAGCAGAAAGCTCTGGGCTGGAGTCCAGCTCTGTGGAATTAACTAGCTCTTTGACCTTGCTTCAGTTTCCTCCTACATAAAATGGGGGTGACAATAACAGAGCCTACCTCCTAGGGTGTCATAAAGATTGTTCAATAAATTAGCCTGTCAGGTATTTATTAGAGCCCAGGTGGCACAGTAGTTAAGTGCTCGGCTGCTAACCAGAAGGTCGGCAATTCGAACCCGTCATTAACTTTGTAGGAAAAAGATGTGGCAGTCTGCTTCCGTAAAGATTAAAACCAAAAAACCAAAACCTGTCGTCAGTGGATTCCGACTCACAACGACCCTATAGAACAGCGTAGAACTGCCCCAGGGGTTTCCAAGGCTGTAAATCTCTACGGAAGCATACAGCCACATCTTTCTCCCGTGGAGCCACTGGTGGTTTCGAACGGCCAGCCTGTCATTTAGCAGTCTGTCGCTTTGACCACTGCGCCACCAGGGCTTCTGCCTTGGAAACCCTATGGGGGGGTTTTACTCTGTCCTACAGGGTCACTGTTAAGTCAGAATCGACTTGAAGGCAATGGGGAAGTATTTGTTAAGTAAACAAATATGAGCATCTACTTTGTCCCAGTCACTATGCTAGAGCCTAGGGGTATAGTAGTAAAGAAGATGGGCAGGGAGACATACTCAGATGAGGAGGCGGATGATTTCTGGACCCTTTTTATCATAAGAGAGTGCGTATTTAAGATACAGTAGCCACCATCTAGCTGTAAGCAGTAAATTGTTGAGACTGGTCGGATCTTCTAAAGCTTTGTGGATCCCAGAGCTGGAAGCATATCTGGTTGAAGGCTATCTAGACTACACTGTTCGTTTCGGTAGCCACTATCCACGTAGGACTTGAAATTTAATTACAGTTAAATAAAATAAAAATTCAGTTCCTCAGTCATCTTAGCCACATTTTTAGAACTGAGTAGCCCAATATGGCTTCTTGTTAGTTAGCCCACTCCAACTCACGGCAACCCCATGTGTGCAGAGTAGAATTGCTCCATAGGGTGTTCGAGGATGTGACCTTTCGAAGCAGCTTGCCGGGCCTGTCTTTCAAGGTGCCTCTGGGTAGGTTCGAACTGCCAACCTTTCGGCTAATAGTCGAACACTTAACTGTTTGTGCCACTCAGGGGACTCCCCAGATATGACTGGTGGCTACCATATTGGACAGCACAGATACAGAGCATTTTTATCACTACGGGAAGTTCTGTTGGACAGTGCTGGTCTAGAAGAAAATTGAGTCTATCACAAGAAGCATCATTAACAGTTTCTTAAACTGGAGTTGTCTGCTTACGTTTGTTCTATAAAAAAAAATGTTAACGTAAGAGCCTATGCTTTGATCATAGGCGTGTGTGAAGACATTATTACCCTTGGTGGAATTCTCACTTGTAAATTCTTTGAAGTTATTAATGTTCATTGATAGGCAGTAACCAGAAAAATTTGTGAAACGAATCCATTAGATCTAATTGGCCCTGCTCCTGGTCTGTGATTCTGTATCTTCCCAGAGCACAACTCTAATTTTATCATTTTGTTGCTTAGCCAATAAAATGCAAACTTCAAGACTTAGCCCTTCAGGCCTCCCATGATCTAGGCCTGCTGGCTTTTTTATCTAGACTACTTGGTATTTCCCCCCAGAAGCAATGCTTAACCACCTCCTTGACTATGTTTTCTGTTGGTTCACTGTTGCAAATCAAAATCTGACCCAACATGCCTGATTGACCTCAAATGCCACATTTATAAATGATGTTTTACCGGATTAGTTCAGCAAAAAGTAATCTCAACTTGAATAGTTTTTTGTTAAACTGTATTTTTGAAACTTATCACGTAACTCTCTTGCACTAGAAGTATTTGTAAACATGTTACTTTTTTTCCAAATTCTAATTTCTGAGGATAGGAAATATTTTCCTTCTTTGATAGGCCCTTATTATAGAGACTTAAATTTATTGTTGTTGTTGTTAGGTTCCGACTCAGCGATCCTATGTACAATAGAACGAAACACTGCCCTGTCCCGCGCCATCCTCACAATTGTTATTATGTTTGAGCCCATTGTTGCAGCCACTCTGTCAGTCCATCTCATTGAGGGTCGTCTTCTTTTTTGCTGACCCTCTACTTTATCTTGCATGATGTCCTTCTCCAGGGACTGGTCCCTCCTGATAACATGTCCAAAGTACATGAGACAAAGTCTCGCCATCCTCCCTTCTAAGGAGCATTCTGGCTGTACTTCTTCCAAGACAGATTTGTTCATTCTTCTCGCAGTCCATGCTATATTCAATGTTCTTCGCCAACACCGTAATTCAAAGGCATCTCTTACAAGACTTACATAGCGTTTAGTGAAGGCTGATTTCAAGGTAACAGGTACCTTAATAGATAACCGGGTTTGAGTGCTCACTCTGTTGAGTGGTGCATATGCAGTATCTCTTTATTTCTTTCAACACCGTGGTTGGGAAGGACCCTCAATTTTAGATGTGGAAACTGAAGTGTAGAGCACTTGTGACATGCTCCTGTTTACATAGTCACTAAACGATAGAGCTGCCAGTCAAACAGAAGCAGTCTTTGACTGCGGAGCCCAGGCACTTACCCATCACACCTTATTACAGCTTAGACCCTTAATAAGCATCCTTGACGCTAAAAAAGGCTTGAATTTCAGATTTGTTTGAAGTTGGCTCATTTATATGAAACCTCATCATTCTGAAATAGTTTGATTTGAAATTCAAGTGGAAAACTTGTTTTCTTTCAAAAAGTCTATTTTTCCCTACATGAATATCTTTAAAAGGTCTATTGAAACTCAATGGTGAAAGGTAATTTTGTTTTTGTAAACTGGTTTATGAAATGAGTTTTTATTTGTTCATTTACACAACAGGGCATCTGGAGGACCTGTTGATACTGGCCCAGAATATCAGCAAGACCTGGAGAAGGAGCTTTTTAAGCTTAAGCAAATGTATGGTAAAGCAGACATGAATACGTTCCCTAGCTTCGCATTTGAAGGTAAGTGTCTGTCATCACGGATTCATTCCTGTGGGAGATTATTTTAAGTGAAGAATATTTATAGTTAATGATTTGTGTGGGATTCACTTGGGTTGTTTAAAGGATTGAGTGACAAATAGAGGTGAAGTTATTAGGACGGTGATACATGCACAGGAAGCCCTTGGGTAAGTGTTTGCAGTTAGTGTAGGAAACCACGTTAACATGGAGGTTAGCCGATAGAAGTCGGAATCAATACCCGGATCTTGAATTCTGACACTATCATTTATGAGCTGTGTGATCTTAGACGGCTAACTGGTACCTGTTTTCTCATCTGACTTTTAGGGAGAATTCTGTCTTCCTCATATGGTTGTTATAGTTAGGTATCGTAACATATGTAAAGTCAGATAGTAGAGAGCCTGGCATGGTTAAGTGCTGAATAAATTTTTAACTGTTGTTTTATTTCTGTATACCAAAAAACCCAAAGCCATCGCCGTCAAGTCAATTCCGACTCATAGCGACCCTATAGGACAGAGTAGAACTGCCCCATAGGGTTTCCAAGGCCGTAAGTCTTTACAGAAACAGGCTGCCACATCTTCCTCCCATGGAGAGGTTGGTGAGTTCCAACTGCCAACCTTTTGGTTGGCAACTGGGCACTTAACCACTGTGCCACCAGGGCTCCTCGTATTTCTACATAGATGTTTAAAACCTAAAATACTTACTGAAAAAAAACCAGAAGACTGACTGATTAAATCTTGAAGAGTTCTAAATAATGCATATCACTGAAATATGACTAAGCATGAACTTTTTTTTTTAATTTTCTCTTAGATCCCAAATTTGAAGCTGTTGAAAAACCCCAGTCCTGAAGCAATATGTAAAATTAATCTGGTAATTTGTCATGGTTAGTTGTACAACTAAGCAGTGGTATCAGAATAAACATATTTCACGATTGTCAAATGTTCTTTTGTTAATTCTGATTCCAAATAAATTACTTCATGTGGAAGGATATCCTTTTAGAGGTGCCGCCACCAATGGAGATGTACTACGGGGGGCGATCCCCTGTTACCTGAGGGGTGTTTGCTGTGGAGGGGTGTTACTCCCTCCCCTGGAACATGAAGATACATCATGAGACATCGTTATTGGAAAGAATTGTTGCCTGAATTCTCAGCATGTTTTCCACTCCTGCAACACCAAGCTGCTTGTTCTTAGGAACCTTGCCTGTGGTCTTAGGGTTCTCTAGAGAAACAGAACCTGTATACACAGACACACACACACAGACACACACACACAGACACACACACACACAGACACACACAGACACAGACACACGCACAGACGCACACACACACACACACACACACACACACACCTTGGAGGAATTGGCTCACGTGATTGTGGTAGATCAGTAGGTCAGGCAGTGGGGAAGCAAGAGGAATTCTGCTGAGATGTCTGTTTATAGTCTGGAGGCAGAATGTTCCCTCAGGGAGTTTCCTTTCTTGCTCTAAGGCCTCCAACTGATTGGATGAGGCCTACCCTCATTATGAAGGGTAATTTGCCAGCTGATTTAATTATATGTCAATATTTCATAACAATATCTCGCCTAGTATTTAATCAAACAACTGGGCACCATACCTTTGCCAAGTTGACACATAAAATTAACTGTCACACCTGGCATTTCACCTCTGTACTTTGTTCTCACTGTTGCCTTTAGTAGAAATAGGCATCTGCTCACCTTGGATGACAACTCAGACAGCTTCCCCCAGGAAGCTTTTCTCAGCCCAACTGCCCCACTGCAGGTAGGCTTAGACCTGTCAGCTCCCCGCCCTAAAGAAGCTTCGGTCGACACCTATAACACTTCATCTTTGCCTCAGTTTCTTCCTATGTGATAATAGTACTTACAGAGCTGCGAGGGTAGAATGAACTCATGTAGAGTTGTTTAGAATAGTGTACTTAATTAATTCTTGTCTTTGCTAGACTATAAATACTCCACGAGGGCAGAAATTTTGTCTTATCCACGTTGTATTCCCAACATGTGAATAAATACTGTTGAATCAATGATTTTCCAGAAGGTCTTTACTGAAGAAAAGAGGGGAAATAAAAATGCAGTATAAAAGGAGACTGTCAGATCTCACATTCCCTGCCGTTTCATAACCTCTCCAGATATCTACAAAGCCCAAGGGGCTAAAACTTGGCTTAGGTTCTTTGCTCCTAAAGAAAAGGGATTTCCTGTATATCTATCCCAACAAAATTGTGGAATACCTCTAACAAACCTCATATGCATGCGAAAGCTGGACAATGGATAAAGAAGACCGAAGAAGAGTTGATGCCTTTGAATTATGGTGTTGGCGAAGAATATTGACTATACCATGGACTGCCAGAAGAAGGAACAAGTCTGTGGAAGAAGTACAGCTAGAATGCTCCTTAGAAGCGAGGATGACGAGACTTCGTGTCACGTATTTAGACATGTTATCAGGAGGGACCAGCCCTGGAGGAGGACATCATGCTTGGTAAGGTAGAGGGTCAGCGAAAAAGAGGAAGACCCTCAATGAAATGGATTGATACGGTGGCTGCATCAATGTGCTATAGCATAGCAACAATTGTGAGGATGACGCAGGACCGGGCAGTGTCTCATTGTGTTGTACGTAGGATTGCTGTGAGTCAGAACTGACTCAATGACACCCAACAACAACAAACCTACCTCTGGTAAACTCAACTCTACCAAAGACCTTTCTCCGTCTCTGGTCGGTTTAGTAATTTTATTTTGTTTTTGTGGGGGTAGGGGTGGGAGAGGGAACAGTGAGCTGAGGTGGATGGGTGATGAAACAAGCAGTGTCCGGCTGCAGACTCCCAACTACGGGTCGGTATGGTACTGTATTACTTATCTATTGCTGCATAACAGATTATCCCAAAACTTGGCTTAAAACTATTATCTCACAGTTTCGGCGGGTCAGGACTCTGGGAGGAGCTTTGCTGGATAGTTCCAGTTCAGGGTCTTTCATGACGTTGCAGATGTTGGTCAGGGCTGCAGTCAAGTACCAAAGGGCTGGAGGGTCCACTTCCAAGGCTCACTCAGTTGCCTGGCAAGTTAGTACTGGTTCTGACTTCACATTACCTCTCCAAGTGGATGTCTCTATAGGGCTGCTTGAACGTCCTTGAGACATGGCAGCTGGCTGCCCTCAGCAATCCAAGACCAAGGGAGGAAGAGCTGATGCCGCCTTTGAGCTGGTCTCGGAGGTCACATACCATCACGTCCACTTACAAGCCAGTCATTAAGTGCAGCCCACACTCTAGGAGAGGGAAATTCCTCCACTACTCAAGGAATATCAAAGAATTTATGGACATATTTTAAAAGCCACCACAGGTACTTTTCTACCCCTTCTCAATTTTTCACCTGTTTCATCAGTGCTCAGCACTTCTGAGTTAGGTCCTTACTCTCCTTCCAATTCTTCCTCTGTTGTATGTTCTTGAAGCCTACTGGAATCTCTTCTTAGGAACAGAAGCTTGAAGCCTTTCCTAAGTAGCATGACTGGAAAAATTACTTCTTCCTCTTTGGATTGGTGGTGTGAGGTGGGGATTGAGGTGGTGGGGAGGACGTAGAAAGTCTTGAGTATCAATCTCCTTACTTCCACCACATTCTCTGTGACAGGAACTGCTCGGAAATCTCTGCTACCTATCCAAGTTGTTTTACCTGTTTACTTGCCCATTTCCCATTTAAAATAATTGCCTTTGTCTTCCTTACAATTCCCCAGACCCGCAGCCTTCACCCACCACAAAGGAAATTATATATGTAGATCCTTGTTGGTATCAGGAAAGGCAAAGATAAATTACAGCAGCAGCAAGTTCATAGTCTCTTAGGCAGAAGAAGGAAGGAAAAGCCCCTCAGTCTCAAACATCTCCACCCAGCATTTACTCCGCCTCCACCGCCGCCCCATCTCTGCATCTTCTGACAAGTAGAGAAGGAAATATTGACTCTGAGGGAAGCAGGCCAGTTTGTTAAAAATTTGCATATGGATCAATTTGCAAGATGACCAACTTACTGAATTTTCCAAATTTTACGCTTTACTAGAAAAGTATATTAAAGAATATTTTCCTACAGTATATTCTTCATTGTAATCATGAGTGTAGTCTCATTTACTAAACAAACACACACATATATATATATACACTTATGATAATTATTAGCATTTTAATAAGTTGACAGCTAAGGATAAAAGTTTTAATCTCAGGAAAATATTTTCTCATTAAAACTTGCAGTGTATCAAGTGGGATTTTTTTCAGTTTTTATTAATTTTGTAATTTTAATATTAATACTGTAATTTTTTGGCCAACATTTTAGCATTGTTAAAGTTCTGTGGCCAATTTCATTGACTGTTCAGTTTGCCAACACCATCAAACTTACTGGTTTGCTTGAAACTTGTCTAATTTATTAGCAATTTGGATGAGACGGTTTTATCACCACTTTTGAAGATTTCTGTTTTGTTCACTGGATCTTCATAACAGCATTTTAGTGTTCTTGCCTTCCATGCAGGAGACCCAGGTTCCATTCCTGGCCAATGCACCTTGTACTCAGCCACCGCCAGTCTGTCAGCAGAGGCTTGCGTGTTGCTGTGATGCTGAACAGGTTTCAGTGGAGCTTCGGGACGAAGATGGGCTAGGAAGAAAGGCCTGATGTCTGCTTCTGAAATTAGCCAGTGAAAACCCTATTAATCACAGTGATCTGATCCCCAGCGGACCATGGGGGTGGTGCAGGTCCAGGAAGCATTTAGTTCTGTTGTGCATGGGGCGGCCAGAAATCCAGGATGGCTAGCTAACACAGGTTGTCTTACCCCAGCTGAGGCTGCAGCTGGAGAATATTGGGGCAGAGAGAAAGGTCTTTCTGCTGGGAAAGGCTGAAGAGAGATCTGTAGCCCAGAATGTTTGCACAAGATTTCCAGGGCCCAGGGAAAAGGTGTACTATATGTCTAAATATTTAAGAGTTATAAATCAAGGTAAAAAAACTGGTTTTAAATTCTCAATTAAGTTCTTTCTTCCAACCTTGACAAATGTTCCTTCATAAAGACCCAGAAGGCTAGGTTCAAATGTCAAATTCCTGGATTCTTCAAGTTGTTGTGTGCTATCAAGCTGATTCCCACTCATAACGATCCTACAAGACAGAATAGAACTGCCCCATAGGGTTTCCCTGGCTGACGTCTTTATGGAACCAGATTGCCTCATCTTTTTACCACAGGGCGGCTGGTGGGTTCCAACAGCCGACCTTACTGTTAGCAGCCGAGCACTAAATGCAGAAGCATGGGAGAGCTAGCCTGCAGCAAAGTTTGAGAACTACTGCACTCTGCATTTCCTTCTGCCTTTCCTCCATCCCAGCTCACCTACGACCCGTCACTGGGCCTCATTGCCAGCTGGATGGTGAGTCTTCCAGCTTCAAAATCCATGTTGGCATCAGCCCCTAGCTCCACTTGTGGTATCAACTCTTCCAGGTCAGTTTCCCTGGGAAGCACTTGGAGGCAGAGCTTCACACGCAGATGGTTATTGGAGAGTGTTCTCTGGAATCAAGGGGCAACATCTGGAATCAGCTCTGGAAGGGAGTGAGACAAGCAGGACTGGGTAGAGCGTGTCTCTCAGCTTCCACACCACTGACATTTTGGACCAGATAATTCTTCACTGTGGGGGCTGTCCTGTGCCTCTACCCAGTAGCATCCTACCTCCCTCCCCCAAGCTGGGAAAACCGACAATGTCTCCAGATACTGCCAAATGTCTCCTGGCAGCAGAGGCCTCAGTCAGGTCTATGGGGAGCTCTTAAGAGGTGTCAAAAATTAGGCAAGAGGAAGAGTCTTCTGCACTCCAGCATTGACCAGTCACTGACTGCAGTCAGCCCTGGGGGAGAGAGCAGAACCTTGTGTAACCAACTCCCTTGCGCTGAGGGCAATACCTGGGAGGCAGAGAGTGTACTCTGTCAG